CAAGAGACGTAAAGCAAAATGTTTTCCTAGAAATAGAGGAGACTGCTTGCCTGAATTGATTTGTTTAAACTTCTCTGAGATGAGTCAGTCGCTTTTTGCTCTTAGGGGATGTCAGAGAACTCTGAGAAGTCAATCACTTCACTTGACTTGTTCACATGGACTTGCACATCTATGTTTGCGGTTTAAATTTAAACCAGGATAACTGGATGCATATCTGTTGGCTGGCTCCAGTAGAGGTTTAATGAAATTCCCGGTGGACAGTGGTTCCATGGCGCAACATGCTCCCCACTTCCTGAGTTTAGCACCAATTGGCAATCTCACTAGTCTAATGTAAGGAAGTGGAAAATTGTGAAGCTCATGCAACCGTGCAAATACTTTCTGACACAAGTGCTTGAATGCGAAGGTGGTTTACATTGACTCACCAAAAACAAAACACGTGATAACCACTCTCCAATCATATCTCTGCAGCATCCTTTTTAATGCGTTTTAACCTCTGATGAAATACTGTCTTTGTTTTGTGGCTTTTTAATTGATTTGAATCTATTTTGTACTTTTGGATTTTAAATTGCACAATAGTTGAGCTTTGTATCTGAAGTGAAAGGAGGAATTGTACCTTATGTCTGCAGAACTATTTTGTCTTGTCACCAAGTGATAAACCTTATTCCTGTCTGGTCCCTGTGGCATTTGTCTCCTGGAATACTGTACTTAAACCATATTTCTTTTCTTTCAGGTACACTGCTAGGTGTCTTGCTGTTGTAACAAACATGAATGATGAACAAAAGAACCATTTCTTCAAGAAAATTCTCACTGCAGAAGAACTGACAACTTTTAGACTCCAGTAAGTTTCTCACATCAGTGTTAAGTTGACTAAACTGAAGGATGCATGCTTAGTTGTGTGACAGTCAGTGGTGTATTTAATTAACATAACCCAAAAATATACGTAATGAAATTGGTTCTTCAGTGCCCAAGACCCAGCTGGAAGCAGAATGACCACAGCTTGTATGTAATGCAGATCCATGTAAGATGCATGTTCCACAAATCAGATGTAAAAACAAGCCTGAAGGTAGATCATACTTGTATTAATTTTGAAACAATTTGCAAATCCTTACTGGTCTTCCGGAAGTGTTCTTATAAGAAGCTTTTTGAGGAGTTAGTTGAAAAAAAATTACTTGAAAGGTTTTTACTTTTTGTTTTGAACTTGATGAGTCATTGACATTTTTTTTTCCTGTCCATGTCAGAAAGTAGCCGTGCTGTGTTGTTTGTACCACCAGTTTTGGCCTAATAATTTTTGTGGTCTTGTTAACTCAGACTTTTCTGACTTTTAGCCATGCACTTTCCAAAGCTCTGTGTTCAACAAAAGACTGTTTTGTGCTGAAGTTATTATGTAGTCACAGGAGTACAAGCTGGTAATAATTGGTGCTACCAATTTATATTAATGAACACGGGGCTTGATTATTAGCCTGTTCACTTGAAGCACGGATCTTTAATTTTTTGACTACCTAACAAATTTGAGCAATAGGTGAAGCTAGCTGATTTACATTGCAACTATGCCGAGCAACGCAGGAGACAGTTTCCATGAGTGGGGTGCTATCTTGACAAAAAAATGTTCTGCTTGTCATAGAGTGATGTGGTATGTGAATTTCTGTGTGTGTGATACCAGTTACTTGCGCTGTATAGCCTGACAACTGGCATATTGTATCAAACAACACCTTCCTTCAGGTGTTTGCAACAGAGAGAGTACTGACTGTACTCAAACCAGTCTCTGCTTGCAAAACCCACAACACAACACCTAATATTAGATATGGTTCTGCTATTAGACGGCAAATGCTGAATAATATCTGCTAAGAATTACGCCAACAATCATCTTGGGTCAGATTCACAATGCCATTCATTTGCTCTTGCAAGAAACGACATATTCATGTGCAGGTCCCTGCATTCTACAGGAAAAAGCAGTGTGCCCAGGCAATTTCCTGTTCTGAACTAAAAAGCTCGTGTGTCGTTAGTTCTGATACGTTCAATGTGGCAACGTCTCAGCAAATTAGAGTCGTCTTGCCAAGCAATCAGCACTCTTTCTTTTTCGTGTAGTAAAATTTGTTGCTTCCCTTTAAGCTAGGTATTCTTGTTTCTGTCTTGATGAGTGCAAATCCAAAAACTCTTTTGCAGCATTTCTTTTTGTTTGCCAGCCATTATCCAGTTTTGTACTACTGGGTGAATATTCTTAACAATTTCAGTTTCACCATTTATTTGAAATTTGTATATTAAATGATTTTTGTTGGGCAGCCTTGATGCAAATTGCTTATTCATTGCAAAACCAAACCATAGTGGTAGATGGAAGGGGACAATTGTCCATTTTAACAGACTACGATTAATGAAAGTTGTGGTCTCATTGAGACTTGTAGCTAATCTGGAGTGACAGTAGCTTCTCTGTCGTATGTAGTGGGAGAACATAATGTAGTTAGTAGCTTATTCTGTGCTGTGTGTTTAATCTGTGATTTTCTGAGGATAGAATATCAAGGTAAAAATAATGCTGAAGGTGTTTCTACCAAAGGATGATAGATGAATTTGCGACATGCATTCAACGTAAATATGGTTCAAATATTTGCAGTGCCATTGCAATGTAGAATACGATTCCAATTTAGAACAATTTCATTTTTATGTTAGTGATTTAATACTCATACTGATGTGAAGCTTGGATTTGTGATCTGCAGTTAACTACTTTTAAATAAAAATGTATTTTACTTCATAGGTTGTTGGAAGAAGCTCTGTGTCTCAATGTGGAGAAGGCTTTGATACTGGCAAATTCGAAGACTGCACTGTGGCAGAAAACAAAACAATTAAAATATACACAAGGGCACATAATGTCTGGAGATTTATCCGAGAATGTTGTGGCTGTATGCGGAGTAGTGTTACCACAGAAACAACTCATTCATCAAGACCAGGTTGCATGTTTATTTTAGAATGGTATATTTCAAGAAAATGGTTTTGATATCTTTCATGATGCCGATGTATACAAAACAATGGTTAACATTATCAGAGGGGCACTGCGCTCATCTTCAAGTTATTAAATTTACTTTTTTTTTCTGCAGGCTTGGTGATTCCAGTAGCCACTATTTGTGTGCATTCAGGATCTCAAAGTCAGCTTTGTTGGTCAATAGTCAAATGTAGTACTGACGCGTACTAGCAGAGTCCAGTGATCATTCATTCATTTTTGCTTCTCCTTTTTTGTTTTGTTGTATTCTCTCATCTTTTAAATCCAACTTTGAATATTGTTTATTTTAGAATGACATTGTATATTTGTCAATGTAATCACAGAAACAGGTCATTCAGCCCAACCAGTTTATATTCCGCCTGAGCTTCCTCCCATTTTGCCTTGCTAAATCAATCATCGTAGCTGTCTATACCCATTTTCCTTCATACTTAACTAGCTTTTCCTTAAATGTATCGATACTATTCGCCTCAATCACTCCTGCTCCGAGTTCCACATCTCACCACTTGGCTTAAGCAGTTTCTTCTGAACTCCCCATTCTACAAGGAGAGTTGCGTTTTTGGCAGTTTTCTAATAGCTGTGTTAGTTTTTTGAGTGATCCTTAATGAATCTCTGTTCTTTTTAATTGCAAAAGATCTGTCTTTTGCATTTTCTAACTGTCCTAGATTTGAAGATTGAAGGGACAAGTGATCCTGAAAATTTGCCTCTTTCCCATGACTATTTAATTACCCATTACTGCCATTTCAGTACATCAGTTCTGTCTTGCTCTATGTGGTCATCTTCAAGATTTTCATTCTTTCATTTGATGCGAGTATTGTTGGTAAGACCAGCACTCGTTGCCCATCCATACCGCTGAGCTGTTCCTCAAGCTGAGAACCATGATGCAAATGGGGAGGGATTGGCCCAGTGGAATTGTCGCTTGACTGTTAATCCAGAGACCTAGGTAATGTTCTGGGGACCCAGGTTCAGCCATAGCAGAAGCAGGAATTTGAATTCAAAAATGGAAATCTGTAATTAAGAATCTAACGATTACCATGAATCCATTATTTATTGTCGGAAAAACCCATCTGGTTCACTAATGTCCTTTAGGGATGGAAACTGCCATCCTTACCTGGTCTGGCCTACATGTGACTCCAGACCCACAGCAATGTGGTTGATTCTTAACTGTCCTCTGGGCAATTAGGGATGGGCAATAAATGCTGCCTGGCCAGCAACGCCCTCATCCTATTAATAAAGAAAAAAGCAATTAGAAGTATTTTCTGCAAACAAGCTCACTTTTATGAGGTTCCACACTGCTCAGGTATTGACTGCATTTAGCTCTCAAACTATATAAATAAGATGAGCGCCCTCTAAAGCCAAACTATACACTGTACAGCTCATTTTTGTACGCCACTAGTCTCCCATTGTCACATTAAACTTCAGTTCTGTACTGCACAGAATTTTATAGTTGTCATGCAGAAACTAATTAAAAAATGTAAATTTTACTTGTAATTCTATTTAGTCCTGCAGATTACTAATCCACACTTTGATTTTAATTGTGGCCTGCTTATAGAGGGACTTAAATATACATTTATGTAAATTGACATTTTTGTACAACTAGGTAATTTTAATGTTCATGAAAGATATCAAAATTTCTTCCGTGGCAATGACGTTTGAGTCTGGACTTTCTAAAATAATACTTTCTAATTTTGAGCTTAGACCATTGTTGGTGCAGCAAGTTGGCACTGCAACCCCATGTCTACTGGTAAACTCTGACTAATTTGTAATTAAATCTTTATGTTCTTGCAAAGCTGTTGTTTTTGATTTATTTTTGTTTTCCCCCTCTTAGTTCATCGGTCAGCCTCTTGTGTTAGTAGCCTCCACCTACAATTATCTGCAGAGCTTGGCTATGGCAGTTGCATCCCAGAATGCTGTACTGCTGGAAGGACCAATTGGCTGTGGTAAAACGACTTTAGTAGAATATTTAGCAGCACTCACGGGTCGACAGAAGCCACCTGATTTCCTCAAAGTACAACTTGGAGACCAGACTGATAGCAAGGTAAGATTTCAATGAAAAGAGGGTAGCAGTGGATTTTGTTTCTGTTCCTGGGGCTTTCATTGACGCCATCCTTTTCTCCCCATTTTTTTTTGCTTGGCTGAAATGAGCATCCCATTTTATAGGAATTCACATGTTCAATTATATCTTGCAACATAGTTCAATGCTTTAGTATTGTTTCAACTTCTTTTTTCAATTTAAATGAAATTATGTTCCCAGCTAAGAGCAAGTAGTCCTTGGTGGCTACAACAGTTCCCACCAACTGGGATTAGGAATTCCAGTAATACTGCAGATTATTTGCCTCTGCTTCCCTTTTGCCCCTGTCATGTTGCTTGCTACCTTTGCCCTTACCTTGCAAAACAACTATGCAATTGGCAGCAATAACTGACTTCCTCCCATCTACTTAGAATGGGAATCTCTTCTTGCCTATCTCCAGATAGTGCCACAAAGTTGCACTTGAATTTTTCTTCCCAAATGTGTATGTCACTGTGTGTTTTCTCCTCCTATGTAATCCAAACCTAATGAGCTAACTTTTTGGAGGGGCGGGGAAGTTACTTCTTTGAAGAATCATGAATTGCTTAAATTCTGAAGTGCTGATGTGTTTGTATGTTTTAGATGTTGCTGGGAATGTATCGCTGTGCAGATGTTCCAGGGGAGTTTGTTTGGCAGCCGGGATCCTTGACTCAAGCAGTAACCAATGGCTATTGGCTCCTCTTAGAGGACATTGATCATGCACCTTTAGATGTGGTATGTAGCCTCTTGAAGCATTTAGTGTGGAGCTGGAGGAACACAGCAGGTCAGGCAGCATCAGAGGAGCAGGAAAGTCGATGTTTCGGGTTTACACCGTTCATCACGATGAGCTCTGACAAAGGGTGTAAACCCGCAACATCGACTTTCCTGCTCCAGTAATGCTGCCTGATCTGCTGTGTTCCTCCAGCTGCACGCTGTTTTGACTCTGACTCCAGCATCTGCAGTTCTTGCTATCTCCTTGAAGCATTTAACATGGTTTAACACAAATGTAAAGTTTTGATAAATATAAGTTCGTCTAATTCATGGTGTGCAATGCAAGGCCACGGTGCCTAGGTTATTTACTGTACAAATGAAGGCACTTGCGTTCAGAATGGACTTCATTGACCTGAAATCTTCCATTAAAAGGAGTGTTGAATTATTCCAGTCACAGACGTTCTTTGTGACCCAAATAAATCCTGACATATGTGCAATAATTACCCAGTGAATTTAAACTTCAGATTTATGTTGGCTTTATCCTGTTCCAGTTACTGTTAATTTCCCAATGACAGGGGGCTCAGGCAGCCAGAACCACAATGTTGCTATAAATTTTTGCAGATTGGTTTGTAATTTTGCCAGCAAGTGTGAAACAAGTTGAGGAACACAAATCAAAATAGATTGCTCTTCACGTAGTGCCCTTATCAACTGAGGGTTGTTAATCATGATTTCTGGCATGATATCACTGAGTTGTGGAGGCAGGCACTCTAGCTTTGTGGGCAGTACAGGGACTGTACCTACACTGTCAGCATTATTCTGCACCACACTCTGGCCAACTGAGTTAATTGGCCTCCAATTATTGATTTTGCTTTTTGTGCAGAATCATTGTGAGGCCTTTGTCTCATTTTGGGTTATTTAAGTGTGGGTATTTCTAGTCTTCCCGGGACATTTGAGCTGCCTCATGGCTGTGACCTGGATAGTTTGGAGCCCAAAGCTTAAATCAAGCTTATTCTAAATCAGTTATTATTTTTGATATGATTTTTATTTTCAACTTGAATTCAACAAAACAAGTACAACATATTGGTACAAGTTTCTATAACAACTTGCCAAAATTTGCAGGTAATTTATTGAAAGTTGCGTTGACCTTATCCACTCTTTTAGTGATTGAATGCAAAATTGTTAAAGCTGACAGATGAATACCTAACTTCAGATACTATTTAGTTGCATATTTGCGTAGATATTTTAGTTTTCTTCAGTCTTTTGACTGTTGTAATGTCTTTTACATTGCAGATATCAGTGCTGATACCTCTCCTGGAAACTGGTGAACTTCTGATCCCTGGTCATGGCGATTGCATTAAGGCAGCACCTGGATTCCAGTTTTTTGCCACTCGGAGGTTGGTCACCTCATTTGAAATTATCTTAATTGTTTGGGGATGTCTAGTATATTAGCAGTTTTAAAAAAAAAAAGGTGTCAAAGAGTAAAATAAAATATAATGGAAATATTTTCAACCAGTTGAACTTTCTGGTTCACTGTCAAGCTCCATTGACTTGATTGAATTGGGAGGAAGCAAAAGTGAATTACTGTGATTTATTGCTGAAGAGAAACTGCCTTTTGGAAGGATATTTCATAACAGAAATTAAGTTTGTGCTAGATGCTGTTTTTTTTTTCCTTCAGCTGCAAGTCATTGAGTTTATATGTAACCTTTCCTTAATAGATTGTTCAGCAGCAGCGTTGGTTGGTATAGACAACAAAGCAGCCATGCAACTTTGCTTGATAAGCTCTGGACCAAAATCCAATTGGACAGCATGAACAAAGCAGAACTAAAGGAGGTGAATCTGTCTTACGTTAATAAGATGCTTACTGCTTTGGTTCTATAAATAATGCCCTTCTCTCAACTTGAACACTCACTACCCCACAAAAAGCACAGTCGTACCCTTATTCTGTTACTGACACCAAAATTGTTGGAGTAATTCTCAAAACTTCGTTGTACTTCTTTTAAGTTCTATTATACCATGCGTGATTGAAATTCCATCACTAGCTTCCTTCTGAAAATGAATCACTTCATACTTCATACTAAACTTTAGTCAATGTTTACTCATTCTGACAATGTCATCTTCTGGAATCTTTGCACAAATTTACTCGTTTATACAATTTTCCTTGTTGTTTCCTAAAGCCTGACATTGTCTCCAGCACATTGATACCTTGCTATCTGTACCCAAAACTATGCAAGTAAATTCCAGAAAATAGGAGTGGACCCTGTATAAACTAACTGTGACCTTTTTTCTCCAGTTTGAGAAAATACTAATAATTTCAATTCTTTGTTCCAATTGAGATGTGCAGTTTTTATCAAAACCTGCCAGCTTAATACAGTTAGCTCATTGTTGCCTCAACTCTCTTTTTCTTTAACTTGAGTACATTCAATGCTGAAACTCATACAAAAATATGAAGACCCTTTTCTGTCACAATAAGGGTTCATCAATTTTTAAGGGAGATTCAGGATTAACAATGCTGACAACCCATGAGCAGATATTTTAAAATATAAGCTCATGAAAGGAAGTGAGGAAAGGGATAAAAGAAATCTTCACAAATGTTGTGAAACTAGAAAGGGTTCAGAAAAGATTTACAAAGATGTTGGAGGGTTGGAACTATAAGGAAAGGCTGAATAGGCTGGGGCTATTTTCCTTGAGCGTTGGAGGTTGAGGGGTGACCTTATAGAGGTTTATAAAATTATGAGGAGCATGAATAGGGTAAATAGACAAGGTCTCTTCCTTGAGATGGGGGTGTCAAAAACTAGAGGGCATAGGTTTAAGGTGAGAGGGGACAGATTTAAAAAGGACTTAAGGGGCAATGTTTTCATGCAGAGGGTTGTGCGTGTATGGAATGAACTGCCAGAAGAAGTAATGGAGGCTGGTACAATGACAATGTGTAAAAGGCATCCGGATGGGTATATGAATAGGAACAGTTTAGAGGGATATGGGCCAAGTGCTGGCAATAAGGCAAAATTTATTTAGGATATCTGGTCGGTATGGACAAGTTGGACCGAAGGGTCTGTTTCCATACTGTACATCTCTCTGATGCTATGACTCTAAAAGTAGGCCCGAGCACATCTGTAGAGACTTCAGGACAAGATGGAGCAAATCTTTTTCCCTATTTGTTGTGTTGTGTTTTTCTGATTGCTATTTAGTTGTTTCCGATGTTAAATCTGTTGAAGTATATTGTCCTGGGCTAGATTCTGTTTTCATTGGAGAAGACATCTGGATATCAGGCATATTTCTGTGAAGTAATTTGAATTGTACTATTGATTTATGGCAAAGCTGAAGATCACCAGATATCTTCATTGCAGAAGGGAATAAAGGGAAGCAAAGCACATGTTTTGAAGAATGTTTGTTTGAATATCGTACTCTTTCAATGTTTATAATTTGAAACTTGCTTACAGGTTTTACTAAATCGGTATCCAAGTCTAGAAATAGTAATAGATCGTCTTTTGGATATTTATTGCCAACTGACTGGCACGAAACATCAAGGGTCACAGGTCACCATGGATGGAAATCATGAAAACAAACAACCACCTGTTGAATGTGAAACAAAAACTGATGATAAAGACTTGTGCCTTGAGGGAAGAGGATTATCTTTAAGGTTGGCAACACTTGTTATCAGTCGTGACTTGTGTTCTATTCTGATAGTGTATGGTGATTGCAGCAACATTGAAGAGTGAGCTTTTGTTATAAAGGTGGAAATTTCAATCATTCTGTTTTATCCCTTCCTTTAATTTCCTTGACTGAGAGCATTGCACGGTGATCCCACCCCGGCTCATCAATTACTGGAAGGGGTATCAGTGAGCTTGGATGGACGGTTGCAATGCAGAGTGAGCTAGTGTGGTGACCCTCAGGTTAAAGTCACCACCAGTTGTCTCTCTAATGGTTCTCGCACGTCTATAGCAATTTTATTTTTACGGTTATGATCTGGAATGCGCAGCCTTGAAGTTTGGTGGAGGCAGATTCAATTGAGGCAGTCACAATGGCATTGGATGATTTGAATAACAGTGTGCAGGATTATTGGGAAAAGCCAGGAAATTGGCAGTAAGCCAAAAAGCTAATGAGCCAGTGCAGACACAGTGAGCTGAATGGTCACTTCCGCTACCATTGTAATTCTAAGATAACTCCGAACATTGTTCCTTTTTTTTCAAATTTCCTATCCAGTCCAGTTTTGAAACGTAACCATCTTTTCAGACAATGCAGTCCAGAGCGCAGGCCATTGTTTAAAATACAGTTTGTCATGTTTTCTCTTGATATCAATGAATCATGAAATAAAAGTTCCCAAATGTAAAATGTAACTGCAGAAATTAAGACTGCATCTGATGTTTGATCATTGTGCCATGTATAATGATGACAACTGATGATAATACTGGACAAGACTGATTCCACGTGAAAACTGGAAAAATCTTTTTAGTTTATTTCTCTGCAGTTTGGTTACAGTGGGCACTGAACACAATCGCATAAAGCTGCTAGTGTTCTTTTAACAAAGGAATGGAAAACCATTTTTATATGAAGGGAGGGGAAGAAAAAGCTTAAGACAAATTTGAAAGATCTTAACACAAACAGTAAAAACAAGACTCGGTTCTTTTCCCAACAACACCCTTTACAGATATTCAACCCCATTGAAGACTCTCTCATGTGTTGACTCTTTGCTTTCTTAGCTGATGAGGTTGCAGGTGATTCCTTTTAGCTTTCTGCACATTTTGCCATATGTGATTCTTTTCATTATTATTTCTCCCTAAGACACAAAGCTACAGACTAAGTCATTGATTCTTTCCACTAAATCTGAAGAGAAACTCAGGTTCTTTTCCAGCCCTTCTGCTTGGACTGCTGGAAACCTAAAGAATTCTTTCCATTGTGAGGAGTTTGCAAACTAACTGCCTTTCTGCTGATATGACACTTCTGAACTGAAACTTGAAAAAAGACTTATTAAGATAACTGTGTTCTACAGAATGACAACAAAAATCAGTTTTCCTCTACTTTAGCATCCAGCTTCCAAAATGATATTACATTATTTTAATCACTCCATATATATACCTTTACCCTTAGCAACAAGTCCTAAATATTTTTTGAATGAATGTAGGGCTAGGGTCTGTGTTACAAAGGCAGGTTATATTTGACAAAGTCTAATATATCAGTCAAAGTAAGTCTCCAGCTCAATCTGTATGGTTAATAGTGATGTTTATGATAACTATAGATCATTAGTTTAGTGCATACTCTACCATGTTACATTAAACTCTTTTGCTTTTATTTCCTGCTTTAGAGATTTATTAAAATGGTGTGAACGCATCATTGATCATTTTGATTGCACTTCCTCTTCTACAGCTCTCCACATCTTTCAGGAGGTAAGGAGAGGGTGAATTTTTAACCGTTAGTTATGTGAAAGATAGAGCTAGACCTTTTTTTTTACACAATATAACCTGGACCAGGGTCTACTATGTATTACTGCCTGTTCTGATGAAAGACATCAGCCTGAAACATCAACTGATGCAACCTGACCTCCTAATTATTTAAACTGCTTTTGTTTTTATTTCTGATTTCCAGCAACCACTATTCTTTTTTTTTGTATTTTTTTTTTATTTACCCCTGCTTCTGTTTGAATCTATACAATACATTTGTTTGGCTCCTAGATTTTGCAGTTACTTGATATTTTTCATGAATTATCATAATTTGAAGGAACTAGTCACTGATTTTATTTTTCTTTTGGGGGTGGTTTTGGGTGAAATATACGTTCTTATATCAATGAAATGAAACCCATGACCTTTCCAAAACCAAGACCACATCTATCTAGAAGGACAAAAGCAGGAGATACATAGCTTCATTACCACCTGCAAGCTTCCCTTTAAGCCACTCGTGACCCTGACTTGGAAATATATTGCCAATTCTTCCGTGTCATTGGAATAAAATCTTGGAATCCCCCCGCCAATGGCATTGTGGGTCTACCTACAGCATATCAAGGGCAACTAGGGATGGCCAATAAATACTGGCCAGCCATGAACACTTGTGTGCCATGAGTGACTATGTACATGAGCTTAATACTGACGATGATCACAAAATAATGAATAATACATATGTTATGCCTGCCCAACTATTCGTAATAGATTGGAACAACTTAGAATTTTCAACTTTGAAATGATGTGTGATAGATGGTGTTTTGGAAACTGAGAATGGTTATCTGAAGGGGAAACATAAATTAGGCTATTACGTTAAAATGAAACTGCAAGAGGTGAGGGGAAAAGAAACACATACTAATTAATAACTTCTAAATTTAGAACCGATCTTTCTCATCAAAAAGTGCACTGAATTCCAGTTGGTGCAATGGACACAAAAGGCATGTGGTCTTTTATTAAGAAGTTGAATGAGAAAATGGGAATGGGTGGCTCTCTGTGAGGATGAATCAATGTGCTGAATAACCCTCCTTATTTCTTATTATTTAGTCTCTTCCATGTGTTTTTAAAGTAAATCTACTACATAGGGTTCTGCGAGTTTGTTGGTGATTTCATAGCAGCAATATGTTAACTGTTTCTGCTGTATTGTTTGGGAAACATGAAGCTATTTGGGCTTAAAATATTGACAGCATAAAGTGACTGTAGACGGGCATATTTTGGAACATTCTTGAGCACTTATCGTGACTTGTTTTACAGGCGCTGGATTGTTTCACAGCTATGATGTCCAAACGGGGGAGCAGGAAGAAAATGGCCGAAATAATTGGAAGCAAGCTAAACATTTCAAAAGAAAAGGTATGGATTCCTTTTGTGCAGGATTTCTTATCCCTGATAATGTCACGTATAGGATTAACAGGTAATGACATGTTTCTTTATAACCCACGTTTTTCCCCTTAATTTCGGAGAGATGCATCCTAATTTCACTCACTGGCAAAATTACAGAATTGTTACAGAGCAGAATTAGCCCCTTTTGACCTGTAACATCTGCACTAGTTCTGCAAATGAGCAATTAATTTTGTTCCATGCGTATTGTAACAACAACAACACTTGTTCATCTGTATATGTAGCTTTAAACAATAGAATTTTAATTTGGCTTTGAAAGTATCCTTAAGTAGTTTCTTTGGTAGTGGCTGGAGCATTACCTTTTATTTGGGCAGTTTCTGAAACAGTGGAATATGTTAGAGACAGGATATTTTGACCACAGCTGTACACAATATTCCAAATGTGGCCTAACTAAAGTTCTACATAGCTGCAATATAACTTGCCAATTTTTATACTCTATGCCCCGAATGATGAAGGCAAGTATGTCACAGGCCTCTTTTGACCACCTTATCCACTTGTACTGCCACTTACAGAGAATTGTGGACCTGTACACCGAGAACCCTCTATGTGATGCTACTAAGGGTTTTGCCATTTACTGCATGCTTACCTCTTACATCAGATCTTCCAGAATGCATGACCTCACATTTGTCTGGATTAAACTCCATCTGCCATTTCTCCACCCAATTCTCAGCCTGTTTTTATCCTGCTGTATCTCCTGGCAATCCTTCTCGCTATCTGCAGCTCTCTCAATCTTTGTGTCATCCGCAAACTTACTTATCAGACCACCTACATTCTCATACAAATCATTTTCATATACATGACAAGCAGCAGAGGTCCCAGCACTGATCAGACATCTCCAGTCAGAAAAACAGCCTTCCACTGTTACACTCTGTCATCTATGACCAAGACAGTTCTGTATCTATCTTACCAGGTCAGCTTGTCATGAGGGATCTTGTCAAAGGCCTTGCTAAAGTCTATGTAGACAACATCTTCTGCCCTGCCCTCATCGATCATCTTTGTGATTTCCTTAAAAAAACGCAGCCAAATTTGTAAGATGTGACCATCTCTGCATCTTTTGTATCATACTACCTATTGCTAATAAATCCATATTTATTCCAAAAGTGAGTAAATCCTGTCCCTAAGAATCATAGAATCCTTAGAGTGTGGAATCGGTCCATTTGGCTCATCAAGTGCATACCCACTGTCTGTGGAGCATCCCTCCCAGACCCACCCCTATCCCTGTAATCCTGTTTCCCGTGGCTACTCTATCCAGCCTGCACAGCCTTGGATGCTGCAGGCAATTTCGCATGGCTAATCGACCTAAACTGCACATCTTTGGACTGAGAGAGAAAACTGGAGCACCCGGAGGAAACCCACGCAGACATTAGGAGAATCTGAAATTCCACAAGGACAGTCACCTGAGGGTGGAATTGAACCCTGGTCCCAGGTGTTGTGAGGCAGCAGTGCTAACCACTGTGCCATGCTAAGAATCTTCTCCAATAATTTCCCTACTGTTGACATAAGGCTTACCATCCTGTAATTTCCTGGATTATTCCAGTTGCCCTCCTCAAATAAAGGAACAACATCGGCTATTCTCCAGTCAGTTGTGACCTCTCCTGTGACTAAAGAGGATACAAAGATTTCATGCAAGGCTCCAGCAATTTCCTCACCTGCCTCCCTCAGTATTCTGGGCTAGATCTGTTCAGGACCTGGGAACTTGTCTACCTTAATGCTTTTCAAAATATCCGATACCTTCTGTATATTGACATGCCTAGAATATCAACATTCCTCTTCCGAGACTCACCATCCACTATGTTCTTCTCCTTTGTGAATACTTATGCAAAGTATTTGTTAAGGCCCTCACCCGCTTCCTCCACTTGCATGCATAAATTCCCTCCTTTTATCCTATGAGTGGACCTACCCTTTCCCTAGCTATCCTCTTGCTCCTTACGTATGTATGCAATGCCTTGGGATGTTCCTTAATCCTGCTTGCTAAAGACACTTCATGGTCTGTTTTAGCCCTCCTAATTCCTTGTTTGAGTTCTTTCCTGCTATCTTTGTATTCTCTGAAGGCTGTTTGTGGATTCAATTTCCTAAACCTTACATATACCTCCTTTTTCGTTTCCAACAAGCTTACGATTTCTCTTATCATCCAAGGCTCCCAAATCTTATCAACCTTATCCTTTCTTTCACAGGATCATATCGGTCCTGAACTCTAATCAACTGGTCTTTAAAAGATTACCAATGCCAGATGTGGATTTAACCTCCAGCAGCCACCCCTGATCTACATTCCCCTAGTTCCTGGCTAATATTGTCATAGTTAGCCTTTTCCCCAGTTTAGTACTTTCACCCAAGGACTACTCTTATTCTTATCCATAAGTAACTTAAAACTTACAGACTTATGGTGAGTGTTCCCAAAATACTACCCTGCCTGAAACTTCTATCACCTGGCTGGGCTCATTCCCCAATACCAAATCTAGTATGGCCCCTTCCCTCGTCGGGTTATTGTTTCAAAAAACCATCCCAGTCTATATAGGGGAAGTTAAAACCACTCAACACAACAACCCTGTTGTTTTCACATTTTTTCCATAATCTGTTCATATATCTGTTCTTCTATCACCCACTGGCTTTTGGCAGGCCTGTAGTGCAATCCGATCAAGCACCCTTCCTATTCCTGAACTCTACCCATATGGCCTTTCTTGATGAGCTTTCCAGGCGTCCTCCCACAGTACATCTCCCTTATCAGTAATGCAATTCACATCTCTGTCAATCTCAGTTTAAATATCTAAATCCCATAATGTTAAGCTAGCAGTCTTTTTTTCCCCTCCCTCAACCAAGTCTTTGTAATACCCACAACATTATAGAGCTTGGTTGATATGTTTATCTTAAGTTCATCTGCCTTCCTTGTCATACGTATCACTTTTAAAACAAATAGACATCAGAATGCCAGTCCTGCTGTGCTCAGTAACGTCTCTCTGTCTGTTAAAAACCAAAAGAACTGCAGACGCTGTAAATCAGGAACAAAAACAGAAGTTGCTGGAAAAGCTCCGCAGATCTGGCAGCATCTGTGAAGAGAAAATCGGAGTTAACGTTTTGGGTCCAGTGACCCTTCCTAAGGTTCTGAGGAAGGGTCACTGAACCTGAAATGTTAACTCTGATTTTCTCTTTGCAGATGTTGCCAGACCTGCTGAACTTTTCCAGCAACTTCTGTTTTTTTTTCTCCCTGTCTGTTCTTGCTCTTTGCCCCACTGGCCTTAGTCTCTGACTCCTCCTAGTTCATTTGCGGGCTGGTACGATGGCTCAGTGGTTAGCACTGCTGCCGCATAGTGCCTGGGACCTGCTTCGATTCCCGCCTCAGGCGACCGTCTACGTGGAGTTTGCATGTTCTCCCTTTGTCTGTATGGGTTTCCTCTGGGTGCTCCGGTTTCTTCCCACAGTCCAGAGCTGTGTAGGTTAGGTGGTTTGATGATGCTAAGTTGCCCATAGTGACCAGCGATGTGCAAGCTAGGTGGATTAGCTACAGTAAATGCAGGGTTACAGGTTTGGGGGCGTGGGTCTGGGTGGGATGCTGTCTGTGGTTGTAGCTTAATTGGACTAAAATAAATGCTGAGTTTGTGAAGTGTACCTGCTAAACTGTACTCTGGTTTCACAAAACCAAATGTTTTGGGACCTGAGATCAACCATGTTAAATAAACTCTAAAGTATATGTTGTTTTAAATGTGTAGTTAAACTGGACTTGCATAAAAGTAGGAATTAGATGATTGACAGTTTGCCCTATTTAGATTTGGAGCATAGTTTATACAGGATATGATGAGTTACTAAGAAGGACAAGAAACTGGTGTGCAGTAAACTGTAGTAAGTAATACATTCTGCAACAATTTCTGTGCCCAGTCGCATACCAGAAAGGACTGATTCTGGGAAAATGAAGCCTGTGCTTCAGATTTTCCCTTAATTGCTAATATTATATTGTGCATGGCAATCCTCTTCTTGGTCTACTGATTTCAGAACAAAGTTAAGAAAACCCAGCAGTTGATTCCATGTCAAATTGACTCAAATTCCTGCCATACTGTATTATTGTCTAACCAAGTTATCCATGCTGGATGCCTGCAAGAGCATCTCGGCTAGTTCCAGTCACCTGTCCTTTGCCTGCATCCAAACAAATGTTTTCTGTCCAGGTACCAATCTAATTTTGCCTCATAAACCCACGGTATGAATCTGTCTGCACCAAAGTTCTCGACGATGCATTCCATATCCTAATCTTCACTCTTTAAGAAAGCTCTTCCTTAAGTTTCCTCTGGCTCATTTATCATTTACCATTTTTATTGAATGCTTCTAGTTTACAACCCTTCCACCACCACATGGGATCCTTTTTTGTATTTGTCTGTCTATACGCCCTGCCCCACCCAGTGATTTTGAATGCCTTTTATGGAATCTTGTCTTCAACTTCTTTTTGAGAAGATGAAGCTCAATTTTTTTCAGTACATCCATGTAACTGAAGTCCCTCATCTATGGAACTGTTTTTATAAATCTTATTTTCTTTTTAATACCTTTCTCTGATGCTTTGGGATCCTTCCAATGTGCTGAAATTCAGTTATTGATTAAACCTGCAATGATCACTTTGTCCCCTCCAGTTTGCATGACTGATATTGAAGTGCAGTATTTAAAACACGGAACATGAGCAAAGTTGCTGGAAAAGTTCAGGTCTGGCAGCATCTGTGAAGGAGAAAACAGAGTTAACGTTTCGGGTCCAGTGACCCTTCTTCAGAACTCAGAACTGTTCTGAGGAAGGGTCACCAACCCTGAAACATTAACTCTGTTTTCTCCTTCAGAGATGCTGCCAGACCTGCTGAGCTTTTCCAGCAACTTTGTTTTTGTTCCTGATTTACACCATCCGCAGTTCTTTTGGTTTTTATGCAGTATTTAAAGTTTGTTACAGTTTTATTTAGTTAGAGATAATGATTTGATATTTCTTTGTTTTGCAGGTGGAGTTCTTTTGCCGATTGTGTAAACCTGCTGTAGAGTTGAGTGAAGTGGAAGTGACTGTCGGACGGGCTGTTATCCCACGGCGAAGAAGTGATGTCGTCCTGTTGCAGTTGTAAGTGCAATATTAAAATCGAATATCTTCTCAACACGTCTGTCTTGGTCAAATTTGGTTTGCTGCTACTACTGTGAAGCCCAATTTAATTTTTTATGTATGTTAATGATATTCTATTCAAATCTCTATTGTCATAGAAACCACCTCTCAACTTGTCATGCAGTATTTGCAGAATGAAGCCATTGGGTAACAAAATAGTTACAAATGACTCTGTTCCTTAAGATACCACCTACTATTCTGATAGTTCTGTTGGATGTCAGAAGATCCATTGGTACTGTATTATTTTGAAGAATGGAATATTCTTCCCTCTACCTAATTGGTTCCTGCTCCAGCCATATTTCATTTTTAAGTTTCTCGTCCTTGCTTTTCAAATCCCTCCATAGGTTTGTCACTTTCCTACCTCCTGGCGCTGTCTCATGATGTGGTGGTTGGAGCTGGGGTGCATGTTGATAGGCAAGCTAAAATTCAAGGCATATTGGCAGATTGCAAATCCATTTTTCTTGATTTTGGGTCCGAAATGTTGCAAATGTTTTATCATTGCAGTGTAAAGTTTTTATGATTTTGTACCTATTCCATTCAACTGAAATACAAACATGTATGTGTTTATTTAACAGTTGTAATTTTCCTTTTTTTTTGTGTTCCAAAACATGTTTACAGTGATATAAATAGACCAAAGATAATTTGCATGGTCAGCAGAGTGATCTTGAGTGATCTGATCCTGTTCCTGACCCAGTTTACAATGGGTAGCTGTGGAGAGTGTACTGCTACTTTAGTATTTAAACTGCTCTCTCATTAAAATTTAAACAAGCAAGCTGTTATAAAAGTAAAATACAGCCGATGGTTCAAATCGGAACTAAGTGCAAAACAAAGTTGGAAAATCTCAGTAAGTCAGATAGCATTTCTGAAGAGAAAGAGAGTTAACTTTTTATGTTGATGATATCGTCCAGTTGCAACTGTAACCGCACCGCACCGCCCCCACCCCAAAAAAAAAGCAATTTTATTCAACAGGTCATACTTGGGCATTTCCACCAGCTTCAGTGAGGTGACACAATCAAACACACCTTCCCCATCGTCCCCTTTCAATAGGAACCATTTCCTGTGCAACACCATAGATTATTCCTTTGTCATCCCTAAAACCCCTTCACTACTTATGGATTAATTATAAGTATAAAGGATGCAAAATCTGCCCTTTGACTTTCTCACTGTCCAAGGCCCCAAAAACACTTCCAAGTGAAAGTGAATTAGTTTTGCTTCTTTCAGTTCATAATATGTTTCCATCTACACTGGAGAGACCAAACTAGTACCTGTTTTGCGCGACACCTTTGTTCTGTTTGCAAGCACAGCCCAGGGTTTGTCATTTCAGGTTTTTTTTATCTCGCTCTCACTTGACCTTGCTGTTCTCGGCCTTCCACAGAATACCACTGAAGCTCAACACTAGCTGAAGGGACAGCATCTTCTGTTTTCACTCTGTAGTCTACAGTCTTATGGCTTCAACATTGAGTGCAACAACTTCTGAGCATAATGTTTGCCCCCATCTTGTTTTGTATGATATTTATGCTCGCCTTTTTACCTTCAACTTTATAGAATAGAAACCCTACAGGTGTGGAAGCAGGCCATTTGGCCCACCAAGTCCACACCACCCCTCCGAAGAGCATCCCACCCGCACCCCTACCCTATTCCTGTAACCCTGCATTTTCCCATGGCTAATCCACCTAGCCACATACCCCTGAACGCTGTGGGCACATTAGCATGACCAATCCACCTAATCTGCACATCTTTGCACTGTGGGAGGAAACCAGAGGAAACCCATGCAGACACCGGGAAAACGTGCAAACTCCACACAAACAGTCACGTGAGGCTGGAATTGGACCCTGGTCCCTGGCGCTGTGAGGTTGCAGTGCTAACCACTGAGCCACCGTGCCATCCTTTGTTTCACTGGGTTCAACATGTTTCATTCTTTATCCGTTCATGTTGATACAGATAGTTTTTATTGTAGCAGTACATTTGGACACAAGTGATGCTTCTTCACTGTATCTGTTACCACTCCTTTTTTGGCTGTTGCATCATTTTTTTTAAATTTTCAAATAAAAGCAAAATACTGTGGATGCTGGAATTCTGAAATAAACATGGCACATTCTGGAGAAAGCAGGTCTGGCAGTATCTGTTGAGAGAGAAACACCGTTTGTGTTTCAAATCTGGTATGAGTCACCTCAAGAACATGTGCTATTTACTTTCTCTTTCCCTTCACTCAGTCTCAGATCTTCTCTGTTCTACCTGCTCCTTCCCTCTTCCACTGCCTTAAAAGCTATAACATTGCTAATTTTTCTTTAGATCTGTTGATGATGTTTCAAAGAGAAATGTTAACCCAGTTTCTCTCTCTGCTTCTTCTGCCAGACCTGCTGAGTTTTCCAGCGCTTTTTTTTTTTCTTTCTTATCCTCCGTGCTTTTGTGATCTTGTTTGGGACTAATTGGATTGTGTTTATATCTGACTTTTTTGAATAATTTTGTGTTCATGCTCTACTATTCAAATATACTTCTTAGTCTCTATTTAGTTTGACTGCTTTGAGCAACTTATTGAATTATAACTAGAAGACAATCTATGCAGGGTCATTCACCTCCTCTTACTTGATAAACTGGTGAGGAATGTCTATAATCTGGATGCCTTGCTGTTTGAATACTGAAATCCTTGCACTTTGTTTGTAGGGAAACTCAGACATTTTCAGCAACACGGCCCTCCGCTCTGCTTCTGGAGCAGCTGGCTGTTTGCCTAAGGAAAAAGGAGCCTGTTTTATTGGTTGGTGAAACAGGGACTGGAAAAACCTCTACTGTTCAGTACCTTGCCAGAATTACAGGTTGGTAGAATGGTATTTGTTGAATGCATTTTGACTTGTTAATGGAGTTAGCTTCAATAATGGTGCAGCAAGTCACTCAAATGATAATGGTTTGAGTTGACTGATGGATGAGGTGCAACGTGTGTCTCCATTCTGCAGTTGTTTAGCTGGTCTTAGGCAGATTTGCAGTAGGTATTTACATTTGGCCTCTGTGTTCTGGGCCATGAAGAGGAGCAAAAATATCAGTCAAGATTCAGAAACTGCTTGTGAAGCTATTTTCTTTAAAAAAAACTGGATTGTGGTTGTGCTGAATTCCCCACTTTGTTCAGAATCTTACAAACCCTTTTTTGTTTTAATTTAGTCATGAGATGTGGGCAACACTGGCTAGGCTAGCATTTATTGCCCAGAAAGCATTTGAGAGTCAGCTACATTACTGTTCGAAGTGTCGCATGGCCCCCCCACCATAGACATTCTTAAAACAAGCTGGGTTTTTGCAATCACTTGGAGATGTCAAGAACTGCAGATGCTGTAGTCAATAGAGTGTGGAGTTGGAGGAACACAGCCGGTCAGGCAGCATCAGAAGAGCAGGAAAGTCAGGACTGATGAAGGGTGTAAACCCAAAATGTCGACTTTCCTGCTCCTGTGATGCTGCCTGACCTGCTGTGTTCCTCCAGCTCCACTCTGTATTGACGTTAGGTTTTTTACAACATTGAACAGTGCATGGTCTTTTAATTCCAGAAGCAGAAAATTGATTACCTCTCAGTTAGGGTCTAATGAATTTTTGTTTCGCCCAACAACGACAAACCATGGTTGATATCAGCATTTTGACAATATGTAGGCAATAGATGGTTGAATTGATTTTTTTTTAAATCTATTTACAGGATGTGGGTGTCACTGGTGGGGTCAGCATTTACTGCTCATCTAGTTAAGAGTCAAACACATTGCTATTGGTCTGAAGTCACACACAGACCAGAATGGATAAAGATGGCAGAGTTCTTTCCCTGAGGGACATGAGACATGAGGGTCTAGGCCTGAAGAAGGGTCTAGGCCTGAAACGTCAGCTTTCCTGCTCCTCTGATGCTGCTTGGCCTGCTGTGTTCATTCAGCGCTACACCTTCTTGTTATCTGAGTAAACTAAACGAGTTTTTAGAACAATCAACAGTAGAACTATAGTTTGCTAGCTTACCTTTTTGCATTGAATTCAAATTTCACCATCTGCCATCGTGGGTTTCAAATCGGTGTCCCCAGAACGTTAGCCTGTGGATTGTTAGTCCAGTGACCTTACCACTACACTGCCGTGATCCGATGATTATTTTCTTTTGTGTAAGTATTATTGTGTATTTTGTTTCAGGTCACAAACTGAAGGTAGTAAACATGAACCAACAGAGTGACACAGCAGACTTGCTTGGAGGGTGAGTATTGTACTTGAGAATTCTGATGGAGAGAAGCTGTTAGCTGAAGTATTAGCTGAACGTTTACATGACAACTGTTTTTTGTCTTTATTTGACACATTTGTTTGCACTTATTATTTAAATTAGATTTATTTTTAATGGCCAAGCTGACAGATGAGAGTAACTGGGTAACTGCCCCTGCCACTGAAGGTGGGCAGAAATTACCTTTTTTTTTCCTTGTTTGTTAATCTGTAAACTAGATGTCTCAAACTATTGGATGGATTTCAATAGGACTTAGTTCATTACTATGGTCTAAAGAAGAACCAGTTAGTTTTTGGTGAAGATGTGGATCTAGATCCTGAAATTCTGTGAAGGATCTGCAAGATTTGGTGCATAGGGAAATTTTTTGTTTTGTTTCAGGATGTTGTGGATCTTCTCAGCTGCTGTAGTACAATTTCTGAAAGCTGTTGAAATGTGAGCAGAGTTTTCAGAGCGGGTTATTGATATGGATTGGCCAGAACCCACCTTGGAGATGAAAGTTCTTGATAAAGAGTTACACTTCACCTTTCATTTTTGGTCCATTAACCAGTCAGGGAAAGGCCTCAAGAAAAAGCTGTTTTAATTGTGAGAACATTAAGTTAACACAGTGTGACAGATGTCTGTGTCTACAGAGTTGCCCTCTTCTCCTCACTTGTTACAGAAAATTTGAAAATTTTGAATTCTGAACATAATGGTGGATCTTCCATTCTGAATAGGCAGCCTGACGTGTTAATTGATTCGTGGCTCTTGACTCTTTGAATTGGAATCTGTGCTGCTGCCAGTAATTTTAAAATCTGCACATTTTCTTCTCCAAGAGAAACATTTGTTTAGGAGCCAGCAAACATTCGAGCCACAAACCAATGCTGCCAGATGTGACATTTTTCCCAGGCAGTACCTTCAGGATCATGCTCTGCCCCTAACCTTACCAATATCATCCCTTCACTTCTCGTTGCACTGTCAAACCCCAGATTCTCTCTATTGTGTTCCTCAGTCACAACGTTTGCAAAGTATGTCTGGTGAGAAAAGGGGGAGAAAATCATTTGGACTTGATGGTCCCAAGCTCTGAAAACCAACAATTGGACTAGGGATATACTGCAAATGCTAGATATGCCATAATTTGAAAATAAAATGAACACTGGGATTAAATTTGTACTTCCTGGTGGCAGTCTTTCACAGAAGGCTTCACTTTTGACCCATTCTTGTGGAAGTAGGAGACATGAGGTGAAAAGCCAGTGAGGGAGAGATGAAAACTAAACTACTTCAATAAAATTAAAATTTCACTATTTGTCTAACCAACTTCTTGGTGAAATGCTCCCAAAGCTGGGCACATGTACTGGAGGCTACTTTAGCTCTTTCCAAACCCACAACCTCTGCCACCTCCAAGAATGAGGGCAACAGCTACATGGGAACACCACCTTCAGGTCATAAACCATCCTGACTTGGATCAGTATTGCTATTCATTCAATTTCAGGGGTCAAAATTTTGGACCTCCCTTCCTAACAGCACTGTGGGTGTCCCTTCACCCCAGTTCAAGAGGGCAGCTCATCACCAAAGCAATTGAGATATGTAATCAATGCTGGCCTACCCAATGTCACTCACTCCTATGAAAATAAATTTTTTAAAAAGCGTTTTCAGATGTGGGGCAGGGGCAAAATGAAACCTCTGCTACTCGGGTGTCAACGGTGCAGTATTTGTGTTTGGTAACTTGACTATTTAACTAACATCTGGGATTTGTATTCAGGTACAAGCCTGTGGACCGTAAACTACTTATGCTGCCTTTGCGAGAAGCATTTGAAGAGCTTTTCATTCAGACGTACTCTAGGAAGCAGAATATTACTTTCTTGGGCCATATTCAAACGTGTTGTAAACAGAAGCGCTGGCAGGATTTACTCCGACTGATGCTGCATGTCTATAAAACAGCCATCAATAAAGAGCTAAAATCTAAAGAAGACAGTGAGAAACTTTTCATTATTTTAAAAAGATTAATTTTAAACTTGTATGTCATTTTTGTTGGCTCTTGAGGAGGGAAAAGGAAAAGAGCTGATCTGGTTGACTTGTCCCTGCTTACTCTAATAAGATCTAATTTCAAAGGCACAAAGGATGAAAAATACAGAATTATTTCTGAAAGATACTTTGTTCCATTCAAACTGTGATGCCCCTGGTCTATCATTTTAGTTTGTGTTAAATTTTACTGTTGAAAACTGCTTCAACTGTAAGCAAAATTGACCCAAAGTGAAAAGTAGGTTGAGTTATTTTTGTCATGGTAAATGTATGTGGGATTTGACATTGCAACTTTTTTTGGCCTACGATATTTTTTGAGTTGATACTAATGCAGCAAGGACAATAGAGTCCTGGGTGTACAATGGAACAAAGTATCCTGTATACCAATGAGATTAAAGCATTGCAAATTAAACAGGAATATTGAATGATGCATTCGATGTCAAACCCTGCACAAAGGAGAGACAGAAGGAAGGTTTGAATTGAGGAGATATTCGGCAGGAAGAAAAAGCAAGGGAAAAAACAAAACAATTAAAACTTGGTTCATTTGCTGATATCTGTATGATTCAAATTTGCAGAAGCTATTGAACTTAGACACTTCAAATTTCCAAATTTCTTGTTTTCTTTCAAACGCTGTTATGTTTTATCTCAGAAGGCTGGCTGAAAGATAAATGGGAATTACTTGGTCTACGCCTGACCCAGGCTCAGCAGCAAATGAAACGAGCTGAATCAGCATTGATATTTGCCTTTGTGGAGGTAAGATGTGAAAATGATTGACAACTCACATAATAACTCAAAGATTTAACTTCTGTACTGAGCCAGATATTTGCATGAGGAACCAATGAGTGGCATCTGCTATTGATTAGACTTGCCTCTGCTGAATGAATTTTCTACAGACCTTTTCTCGACAGTGGCTCAGTTAGCACTGCTGCCTCATAGTGCCAGGGACTTGGGTTTGATTCCACCTTGGGTGACTGTGCAGAGTTTGCTCATTCTCCCTGTGTCTGCGTGGGTTTCCTCTGGGTCTCCAGTTTCCTCCCACAGTCCAAAGATGTGCATGTTAGATGGATTAGCCATGAGAAATGCAGGGTTACAGAGATAGGATAGGAGGGAGGCACTGGGTAGGATGCTTTTCGGACGGTAAGTGTGGACTTGATGGGTCGAATGTCCTGCTTCCACAGTTGCTGCAAAAAGGAGTTTGAAATGCCCTTCTAAAGTAAAGCAATTGAAGAATTTTTGATGTATAGTGCTGAGCCTGAAGCAGGAGCTGGTGAGTTCAAGCAATGAATTGAATGTAATAACATATATTAGAGATGAAGTACAAAATAGTAACATTAATTTGCTAATTTTTTTAAACTGTAGAATCTGTATAAATAAGACTCTGCTGACATTCCAAAAAATATGAAATTGTGAACAAAGAACAGTACAGCACAGGAGAAAGCCCTACTACCCAGCAAGCCCGTGCTGACACATGATGCAATTCTAAACTACAAAACTTTTTGCCTCTACAGTGCCTGTATCCCTCAATTCCCTGTCTACTCATGTATCTGTCAAGAATGTTGCGGTTTAGTATCTGCTTCTACAACTTCTTCTGATCGTGCATTCCAGGCACTTACCACCCCATGCAGGGAAAGAAAAATTGTCTTTTGCATCTCCTTTTAAACATTTTCCCTTTTTACCTTTTTAAACCTACACCACCTAGTAATGTACATTTCTACCCTGAGAAAAAGTCTCCGAGTATGCACTCTTATCAATGCCTCTCATAATTTTATAAACTTCTATCAGTTCACCCCTCAGCCTGAGACATTCAAGTGAAAATCAACCAGGTTTGTCCAATCTCTTGTCATAGCTGACACCCTCCAAACCATGCAACATCCTGGTAAACCTTTTTTGTACCCTCTCCAAAGTCTCCACATCCTTCTGGTATTGCGGCAGCCACCAAATGTGGCCTCGCTAAAGTTCTGTACAGCTGAACATGACTTGCCAATATTTGAAGATGGTACAGTTTGCAGTATCAGAACAACGTGAAGATTTTCACATGTAGCTGCACAACTGCAGTGCCTGAAGTTGCTGTCAGATTTCTGTATAACGAAGTCAATTGTCTTATCCTTCTTAACTAACGTACTCCTCCTTGATTGGTGATCAGTGTTCATGGGATCCTGGATCTAGTAGTTTTAGGCCATATTCCTGATTGTCTTAAGATATGGGATTTCTCCTCTTCAAAGTTATAGTGACCAGTTTAATGCAGAAGTCAGCAGAACAGGAAAAGCTGAGAAAATCCAGAGTAAAATTACTGTCTAGCTGCAGGAGTCATTTGGTGAATCATTGAGCTTTACTATTCAGAATGCAAAGCTGGCTTATCTTTAATTGCGAGTAGATTGCTCTTAGGTTTTGCATTTTCCCTGCTGTTTCTCCACAGTCTTCTGTAACTTTCCTGTTTTAAATTCTGTATCTGCAAAATTATGGTTGGCCACTTTGTGTTAGTGGTGAAAGTGGCCTCTATTTACTGATGCAGTACACAAAATCTGTGGCTAATTTTTCCTTTGATATTAGTGCGTATCAAAACTTCATATGATGTTTCTTATCAATGTATCAACCAGTGGAAGCTGTTCAACCTCAGTTTTGAATACTTTTATCAAAATAGAACCCCACCTTCCTCAGCATGTGAACATAGGTTATTTTGACTCAGTGGGAGAAGCAAGAAAAGTATTATAGCTGAATATGTTTCTATTTTCATTTAACACTCAAACTTGCAGTATCCAGCAAGGACCACTCAATAGTTATCAGGTTTGAAGAATCTAATTGTTTTTCTTAGTTTGAAATTAGAGGCTCTGAACTTAACTGTACCCCAATTTTTCACTTAATTGAAATTAGTTGCTCTGAGATAGATCACAGATTTTCCTTGCTACCATTCTTTTGACAGTTATTTTTTGTTTCACTAGGGTACCTTAGCACAGGCTGTGAAGAAAGGAGAATGGATCTTGTTGGATGAGATCAATTTGGCTTCAGCAGAGACTCTGGAGTGTCTGAGTGGACTATTGGAAAGGAATACAAGCTCACTTGTGCTGTTGGATCGAGGAGATACCGGTACAGGAGCTATTGTCTTTGTATCCAACATTATCTGTAACATTTCTTTTTATGTAGTTATTTCTCATGTAACTCTTACAGGTTACCTTTCTTTTTAATCTGAACACACATGCCACCATTTTTCCATAACTTAATCTGCAGTTTAATGTAGAATTTTTGCACTAGGTTGATGATGATTTCATGTTCCGGAAAGTGGAGTAATTTGTGTTTGGGTAATTGCTTTGCACAAAAAAAATTCTTTTCCATGTAATTGTTGTTAGTAGAACTATGAGATTTCTAACTTGGTTTATCCTGTTGCAGAACCTATACAACGTGACCCAGAGTTTCGTTTATTTGCATGCATGAATCCAGCAACAGATGTGGGAAAGAAAAACTTACCACCAGGCATAAGAAACCGGTAACTAAAATCTAATACAGAGAACAGTAGCGCACATGAACAGGCCCTTCCACCCATCATGTCTGCACCAACCATGATGTCATTCTAAACTAATACCATCTGCCTGGACATGGTCTGTATCCGTCTATTCCCTGCCTGTTCATGTGTCTGTCTAAGTGCCTCTTAGCTTTGCAAACATGTCTGTTTATACTACCTTCCCTGGCAGCGCATTCCAGGCACCTATCACCCTCTGTGCTTAAAAAAAGAACAACTAGTCTTGGGTAACTCCGTGTGAAGTCACACCACCAGCACCCCACCACCCCTCCCCCCTCCACCCCCCACCCCCGCACCCTTAAACCTATGTACCCAAGTATTTGACATTCCCACCTGGGGAGAAAGACTCCAAACTATTGACCTCATTCATTCCTCTTAATTTTTATTCACATCTATCAGTTCACTCCTCAGCCTCTGATGCTCGAGCAAAAGTAATCCAAGTTTGTCCAATCTTTTCTTATAGCTAATAATGGGTGGTGATGGCCTCATGGTATTATTTCCAAATTGTTAATCCAGAGACCTAGGTAATATTCTGGGGACCCAGGTTCAAATCCTGCCATAGTCCTGTCATGACATGGTTTTATTTTAGCACAGACAAATCATTCTCACCCGTTCTCAGACCTACTAAGACATTACATGGTTCTGAGGACGGTTCACTCAACCCAAAACATTAACTTCATAGATGCTGCCAGACCTGCTGAGCTTTTCTAGCAATCTCTATTTTTGCATCACGTTACATGGGTTGCATTCACGCACTGTCGAATCCTCATTAATCATCTTTGCCATTTCCTTAAAAAACTAACTAATAAAGTTATTCCTGCACCCTTGATGAAGACCCGATTTGCCACTTTCTTATAGTGGGATGCAGCCTGTTGCAAAGGTACTGCTTTTGACACCTTTTCCCTGATTTGGGATCACTGGTGCTTTTCATTATTCTTGCCCTCTGTTTTCCTTCCCGATTCTAATGAGGTCAGTATGTTGGTCAGCTTGAAGCAGCAGCAAGTTTTGTTGAACTACTGTCCTTTTTAGAATGGAGAGCCTTTTACCCAGCATGCATAGTTAAGAGAGAAGCTACTCTGTTTCTGGGTTTGTGTGCTTACACAGCTCAACCCTGGGTGAGGAATTGGCTTCTCTTCATGTTAAAAGCATTCTTTGGTGCCATGGAATTTTGTGCACCCAATTCAGCATAAGACATGTGGTACTGCAGTTTTTGACCCATTAAAGGAAGGAACAGTTTTAATGCCGTGCTCCCTCACCACTGTGTTGAAATGTCAACCTAAGATATAGACCACCTTCTGGAGATCCATATACAGATTAATACATGTCTATTTTCCAAATGTTAGTCTGTTTTAAACATGTCCTGAGATGTTATGTTAAATGATTTCTGAAACTCAGGAAATTGAACCAGTTCAATTGTAGTTGTTACATGAACTGTATGAGCTAGGAATTTGTCGTGCTTGCTCTCTAAGTTTTGGCTTTCATGCCAGCTATTGAGGGTGTTTAGCCTTATGAGCACTGACTGAAGAATATAACTTTATTTATTGTGTATGTTAAACTAATTACCTTTCTAGGACTTGTCTTTGTTTCTTTTGAATTATTTGCCAAGTTTGCACTGTGCAAGTATAGAGTTTTGTTTCTTTCCCGCACATGCTTCTCTGAATTCGGTTTGTTGGAGTTTTGAATGGAAAAGGACTTTATCACATGAGCAGTGGGCAATCTTCATGATTGCTCAATTATGGTATTGGTCATAACATTTTTTGTAAAAAATTAATATCATCATCCTCTTTATCCTTGGGCTTAAAATCAGTTAAACTATAAAACCATATGATCTTGAACATACTTAACAACTGAACCTTCACAGCCCTCCGGGACAGAGAATTCCAAAGATTTACCACTGAGTGAAGAAATTCCTCCCTTGTTTTCTCAAGTCCTGAAACATCTGTTGCTTGTTCTGAGACTCTGTCCCCTTGATCTAGAACCCCCTCCCCCTAGGTAGGGAATAACATCCTTCCTGCATTTTCCTAGCTGATCCAATAAGTTGCAAGAGTTTGATTCACTTCCCATTCATATAAACTCAAGACTGTTTAAAGACTTTATCAATTTAACCTTTATTCATACATCACTCTCTCCATCCCAATAATTGTGCTAGTGAACCTTTGTTGCACTCCCTGTATGGCAAGTATATCTTTCCTTGAGTAAGAAGAGGAAATCTGTGCTCCAAGTGCAGTTTCAGTAAGGCTTTATACAGTTGCAATAAGACATCTTTACTCCTCTATGCAAGTCCTTGTAATGATGTAACGAAATCTAACCTCGCATTTGCCTCTTGAATTGCTTGTTGTACTGACATGTGTGATGTGTGATTGTTTGTAGACTGCTGTCATGTTACCGGTTTTAATTTTCAGCCTCATTCTAGCTATCCCCAGTACATATTTAATGTTAATGTCTTTACTGTGCTGATATTTTTAACTGACTTCTATATTGACAGGTTCACAGAGCTGTATGTTGAGGAACTAGAAGATGAAGGAGATCTCCGAATCCTCGTATCTGATTACCTGAAAGGATTAAGTGTCAGCAAGAAAACTATTCAAGGCATCATTGAGTAAGAATAATTTGGTGATTCTGTGTGCAGATGTTTTGAAGTATGCGCAGTGTTGGGGGAGGTGGAAGAGAAGTAAATGTTAGCAGTGAAGATAATTTTCGGCACTATTTTCTATTTGGATTTACATGAGGGTGGTGGCAGTATTTTGTCTATGCTGCACTGGTTGCAGTTTTTTTCGTTACAGCAGTCACTTTGTTGTAACGATAAAGAGAGATGTCAATGGTATTGTTCCTACGTTCCTTCTTGATGTGCTGTCTCCAGTTCCTGCCTCAATTCGGTTGTTAAAGATTTGGCTTCTGCTGCTTCAAGGTTCAGTCCTTGGCTCTGTTAGGTCCCATGACAAACGTCCTTATTTCTACACTGCAGTGTTGTGATTGGTAAACCGATCAACTATGAAAGGACATCTCATCGGCTTGTTTTCTGTGCTGATGTCAATGCTGGCTTTTATAAATCTTTTTTTTCAGAAGAATGAGGGGAGATCTTATAGAAACATATAAGATTATGAAGGGAATAGATAAGGTGGAGGCAGGGAGGTTGTTTCCGCTAGCAGGTGAAACTAAGACTAGAGGGCATCGCCTCAAATTAAAGGGAAGCAGATGTAGGACTGAGGTCAGGAGGAACTTCTTCACCCAAAGGGTTGTGAATCTGTGGAATTCCCTGCCCAGTGAAGTGTTTGAAGCTACCTTGCTGAACGTTTTTAAGGCAAGGCTAGATAAATTTTTGAACAGTAAAGGAACTAAGGGTTATGGTGAGTGGGCGGGTAAGTGGAGCTGAGTCTCAGAAAGATCAGCCATGATCTGATTAAATGGCGGGGCAGGCTCGAGGTGCCAGATGGCCTACTCCTGCTCCTTGTTCTTATGTTCTATAATATTCTTAAAGCACAAGCCAACACTTGAGGATGACACAGTAAGGAAGCTGCCTTAGTCAGCCAAAACAAAGACCCTCTTCAGATACTGCACATCCAACCTGTACATCCAGACATGTTAAACTGCATGATCTAATCTGTATTTATGATCCCCAAAGACACCAATACAGCTCTGTTATTACAGCTCAGTGATAGCCTTTAACACTTTCAACTGGAACCCTAAGTTTCACCCTTGCACTTCCCTTAATTGATGTGAAATGATTTGCTGTTTGAAGTTGGAATACCCAAAAATGGAGATTCATCAAATCACAAATTCTAGATGGGTTCAATGTTACCTATTTCACAGCAGGTTGTCCTTGTTACCATAAATATATGGAGCACAAAGATGCAAATTTGTTACATTTTACGGCATATTGAAGGGATTAGTTGGATAGCCTTAATGTAAATATCACTCTATTTCACATGTATCTTCCTCTGAAAGTATGTCTGTCTTTATTAGGTTTTACTTATCTGTGCGTAAGGAGAAAAATGTCAAGTTAATGGATGGTACAGGCCATAGACCCCACTACAGTCTTCGAACTCTCTGCCGTGCTCTTAAGTTTGCAGCATTGAACTCATGCAACAATGTTCAACGCTCATTGTATGAGGTAACTGATGAATACCATTTCTTCATTCTTAACATGTCAACTAAATTTGACAGTGAATTTGTTCATGTTTTATTGCACACATTTTAGGAGAGTGTCCTGAAGCATGCAATGCACTTGTAATGTTTCTTAATAGGTACACTCAGTTAAAGATATTCTATCTCCTCTGAGAAACATTTATTGTTGCACCTAAAAGCAAACCTAGTTTAGGTCCTACACGTGGAGTTTAAATGTAAAAACTATGTGTGAGGAGATTAACATCACTCTTATGCAGTTTGCTTTTGTTTGTTTTACTCCCATTTTGTCCCATCCCGACTTGTTTTGATTTTTGTGAGGGGATGGAGTTGAACCCCCACACCCAGATTAGCCAATATCTTATTGGATAATGACGAAGGTTGATGGGTTGAATGGCTCACTACTCCTGCTCCTGAGCATTTTTGAAAAAATGTTTCTGTGAAGTATAAAAGGATGGCATACGTTCTACAGCCATGTAGTGTAATGACCTCACCTAGAGTACTACAAGAAGGATTTACTTGCATTGGAGACAGCTCCGAGACAAGGTTCTGGGGATGGAGGGGCTGCCTTAAGGAAAGGTTGAGTATATTAAGACTATAGTCATTTAAGGTTTAGAAAAAAATGAGAGGTGGTCTTATGGAAATATACAATTCTGAGAGACTTTACAGGGTAGCTGCTGGGAGGATGTTTCTTTACGCAGGGAAATCTAGAACCAAGGTACACGACTTCAGTAGAAGGGGTCTTTCATTTAAGACAGTTATGAAAGGATTTCTGAGGGTCATTTAAGCTTTGGAATTCTCCCCCTTAAGGCAATAGGGACTGGACAAATTTAAATATTCAAGGCTGAGTTAGACAGATGGGTAAGTGAGTTGAGGGTTAAGGCCAGGAACAGTTCCATCTTGATCTTGATGGCAGAGCAGGTTTGAGGGGCAAAATGACCTACTCCTCCTTCCACTTCAATTATTCTTATTTTCTTATTTCTTTAAAATTCCTAATTATCCACAGCGCTGGGTACTCATGTTGCATGCCTAAAATAATTTTGGATTTTTTACAGGGTTTCTGCATGAGTTTCCTTACTCAGCTGGATCGTGTATCTCACCCAATTGTTGAGAAACTGATTTGCTGTCATATTATTGGGAACAATGCCAAGGCTATTCTCCAACAGGTATTTCCTTGTATATTATTTCCTGTAAAGTTAACTGTGGTTTGGAATACTATACCAATGTGGGATGGAGGCTTATTCAATGGTAGTTAGTGCTCATTTTCTACAACTTTAGCAACTGTCTACAATAAATTGCCAATTCACAACCTGAGGAAGATTCTTCAGTCAGAACTTGGTATAACCTAAAACAAACAAAAACAGAAATTGCTGGCAAAAGACCCTTGGAAAGGTCACTGGACTCAATATTAACTATTTTCTCTTCACAGATGCTGCCAGACCTGCTGAGTTTCTCCAGCAATTTGATTTTCTTTGTTTCAGATCTCCTCAATTCTTTGTTTTATTTTAATATAAGCTACATTTGATCTCCAAATAATATTTTGACTGAATTCTCAGGATGTGTTCATTATTGGTATTATTAGCCATCTCTAGTTAACAAAGGTGGTGACAATTTGATACATCTGAGAGGTGTTTTTGATCACTTAAACAACAGTTAAATCAACCACCTTGGTGTGGGGCTGGTGTCTCAAAGCCCAGACTCAGCAGGATCAACTAGTTTCCTGGTTTAATACCTCACACATATACAACATTGCTTTCACTTCCTTGATATTAATTGGATGACTTGTTTCAACTGAACTTTGAGTATAAATTTGTCATGGAGGAATTTAACTCTCTGTAACTAGTTCAGTGATGTAACCATTACACTACTGAATATCTGGAAGCCTGATTACTTGCAACCTTGATCTTACATTTGTTCCTAAGATGACCCATGACTTCATACACCCTACTAAAAATATCTATTTCCAATTGCGACTCATCTGCTGAAACCCTCATTAACACTTCGAATGAACTTGACTATTCCACTGCACATTTTGATGGTCAGAGAGTTATAGAATCATACAACATGGAAACAGACCCTTCAGTCCAACCAGTCTACAACCTAAACTAATCCTACCTGCCTGTGCTTGGCTCATATCTCTCCAAACCTTTCCTATTCGTGAACTTACCCAAATGTCATTTAAATGTTGTAACTGTACCTGCATCCACCACTTTCTCTAGCTATTCATTGCACACACGAATGACTGTGTTTAAAACAAAGTTGCCCCTTAACATCCTACACTCCAGTGAGAAAAATCCCAGTCTTTCCAGTCTATTTTTACATCTCAAATCCTCCATTCCTGGCAGCATCCTGGTAAATCTTTTGTGAACCCTCTCCCGTTTAATAATATCCTTTCTATAACAGGGCAACAAGAACAGCACATGGTACTCCAGAAGAGCCCTCACCAACATCCTGTACAACCTCAACATAGCATCCCATCTCCTATACTCAAAGGTTTGGGCAATGAAGGCAAGTGTGTTAAGTGCACGGTGGCTCAGTGGTTAGTACTGCTGCCTGACAGTGCCAGGGACCCGGGTTCAATTCCAGCCTCAGACAACTGTCTGTGTGGAGTTTGCACATTCTCCCCGTGTCTGCGTGGGTTTCCTCCGGGTGCACAGGTTTCCTCCCACAGTCCAAAGATGTGCAGTTTAGGTGGATTGGCCATGCTAAATTGCCCGTAGTGTTCAGGGATGTGTAGATTAGGAGGGTTATAGGGGGATGGGTCTGGGTGGGATGCTCTGAGGGCCAGTGTGGACTTGTTGGGCCAAAGGGGCTGTTTCCACACTGTGACGATTCTATGATTAACCACCCTGTCAACCCGTGGTGCAAATTTCAAAGAATGATGTACCTGAACCCTTAGACTTCTCTGTTCTACAACACTACCCAGGACTGTACCATTAATTATATAAGTCCTGCCATTGTCTGTATTACAAAACTTCAGTACCTCACATTTATCCAAATTAAACTCCATCTGCCATTCCTCAGCCCATTGACCCAATTGATCAAGATCTCTTTATAATCTTAGAAAACCTTCCTCCTTCACTGTCCACTATACCACCAATTTTGGTGTCATCGGCAAACTTACTAACAAAGCCTCCTATGTTCTCATCCAAATATCCAACAAAGCAGTTCAGCATATCATTTGTTGGTGACATTTCAAACATTATATAAGATAACACTTATTATAAAGAAAGTTAATAATTTAATGTTGCGTTCCTCTGATGTACAACCTATAATTTCATACCTTCCTGCCAGTACAGTTGTACTCTGAGTGACCTTGCACTCTCTATACTGGATGTGTGGCTTTAAGCAAACACAAGTGAACAGTTAGTGAGAATACAGAAACACCTTAAAGATTAATACTATCAAAAAATATAAGAAACAGAAGCAGGAGGCCGTTCAGCTCTTCAAATCAATATACGATTTACTAAGATAGTGACTGATCTTCTGTTTTCCTGCATTAGACCAATATTCCTCTGTTTTTAAATATGTAAAAATCTGTTGAGCTCAGTTTTGAAGATGGTCAATGACTGAGCATCCATAACACTCGGGTGTAGAGAATTGAAAAAATTCACCACCCTCTGAGTGAAAAGATTTCTCCCACAACTGAATCCTCAGTGGCCTGCCTCTTACTCTAAGACTCTGTTTTCTGGTTCTAGACCATTCTGAGCCAGGGGAAGCATTGTTCCTGCATCTACCCTGTTGAACCCTTTAAGAATTTACATTCGTAAGAAATCACACCTCGTTCTTCCAAACTCCTGAGAATGTAGTCTCAGTCTATTTAACCTGACATCAGAGGACAATATCTCCATTGCAGGAATTAGTTTGATGAACCTACATGGAAGTATTTCTTTTGGTAAGTAAGGAGACCAAAATTGTACACAAGATGCCAGGCGTGGCCTTATCAAGGCTGTATGGAATTATAGTAAGTCACCATTATTCCCATGCTGAGATCCTCTTATAATAAAGGGCAACATACCACCTGTCTATTAGCCGAGGCATTGAGTTTAAGAGGAGGGAGGTTACGATGGAACTGTATAAAACATTGGTTAGGTCGCAGCTAGAGTACCGTGTGCAGTTCTGGAATCCACATTATAGAAGGGATGTGATTGCACCTGATAGGGTACTGGTCTGCCGTACATTTGCCGTCTCTGAACTTCACATCATATATTGCTGTGCTGCTCGTAACTTGATCTCCAGTAAGTGCTGTATACCTGTTGCCCTTGTGTTCACTGACCTGCATTGATTCCCAGTCAAGCAGTGTCTTGATTTTTAAAATTCTTATGTTTTGTTTTCAAATCCTTCCATGACTGTACCTCTGCAACGTCTTCCAGCACCATAACCCTCTGAGATATCTGTGCTCCTTTAATTCTAGTATCTTGAGCATCCCCAATTTCAATTACTCCATCAATACTGTTTTATTAGTTGCCTAGTGCCTAAGCTCTGGAATCTCCACGCTCTGTTGTTTTATTTTTCCATTTGCGATGTTTCTGTGAAGCTCCTTGGAATGCTTTGCATTTTGATTCATAATTGCATAAGAGATCTGCCGGCACACTTCGATGAAGTGAGCAGTGTACATCTGCACCATTTCACATTTTTCAATGCATAGATGTGTTTGGTTTGAAAGATGAAATTGAGATGGTTTCTCTTGGAAGCAATAGTAGTTTTGAAAATGGAGAAGAAGTAACTCCTCTGATCTTTAACATTTTCAGCCAATACCAGAACCGAAAGGAGGACGGTCCATACAGATTGAAGGCTACTGGATTGCAACTGGAGATAAGGAACCTTCTGTTGACAAGTTGTATATTCTCACGCCCTCTGTCAAACTTAACCTACGGGATCTTGCGAGAGTGGTAGCTGCAGGGTAGGAATATGTAATTTTCATCTTCAATTCATTTGGAAAAACTGTTCAGTTTTGTGATTGGCTGATACATGCACACATGTCATTCGTAGTTTGGCCACAGGAACTCTAATCCAAGTTTAGGATAATGTCATGAGATCTTCATCATAAATTCGAAATTCAGGCGGGACCCTGGTTTAACACTTCAAATATACAACATTGTTTCCATGTTAAATAATGTATTCAGGCCCTATATAGGATGTGAGCCACTGCCTTCTGATACATTGTGTGAGTGGCACCAGCTGGGCTAAGTTGACGGTATGTTTTCAAATATGTCTGTTTCCTGTTACATGTGAAGTAAAGATTGTTCAGTATTCTTAACAGAATAAATAATTGATTTTTAAATTCAAAAATTTCCATTGTCATCTCAAATTTTGTCTTTTCTCTATTTGCTCATGTCATTTGCCTGCTGTCTGTAATCTTGAAACGCTAATAGGTGATCAACACTTTATAATTCTTTTTGGAAACTAAAATGTTAGTATTCATTTGTATGTTCAACTGACTGTAGCTTGTATTGATTTGTGGTATTATTTTTCTTAAATATTCTTGGTTTACTATACAACTTTTGATGTTTCATTAAAAGGATACATCCAGTACTTATTCAAGGAGAGACATCAGTTGGCAAAACAAGTTTAATCTGCTGGTTGGCAGCTGCTACAGGAAATCATTGTGTGCGGATCAATAATCATGAACACACAGACATTCAGGAGTATATTGGCTGCTATACATCTGATGAAACAGGAAAACTGGTATTTAAAGAAGGTTTGTTCACATTTTTGTTTCATTTTGAAAGCAATACATCATGGTTCATGTTTTTCCATAAGTGATCTTGACCCATATTTTCTGAATGTTATGCTCAGAAATTGTAATGTTGTCTACACTTGTATTTGTAGTCTGGGCACCCTTTACAGAAGCAAGTTTTGGTTTCATAAATAACTAACTTACTGAAGTTTGCTTCATTTTTATTGCTGATTGATAAATGCATTTGAAAAGTACATATAATTTCAAAGGTACCTGCAGCTGTCTTTGCAAACTGAATGACCAGAAGTGGTACCAGATAATCACTAAATTAAATAGTAATCAGGAGCTTCCCTTCCTAGTTTAATGATTTAACTGTACATGATGAAGCTGCACTGCAATAGTGCAAGTTTGTTGACCAATGGAAGCAGGATAGTATTGGCAGAGCTCGCAACCAGTGAATCAGATCAGACCTCTCCAGTTCTGCTTCATCCATTTGTGAATGATGTGAAACCCACCTGTCACAAAAAGGCCCTACAGCCCATTGAGTCTGTGCTGGTCAAAAACAAGCACTTAACTGTTCTAATCCCATTTTCCAGCACTTGGCCCATAGCCTTGTATGCCTTTGATCTACGCAAGTGACGTCTAAATATCACTTCAATGTTATGAGGGTTTCTGCCTCTAACACTCTTAGGAGCAGTGAGTTCCAGATTCTTCAGATTGAGAATGATGATCTTTTCCTCCCATTCAATGACGGAAGAGACTCCTACATATGTGCAAAAGACAAGTCTGTGGCACTTACAACTGTCTTTAACCAAAGGTGCTATGGGAGTAATCCATCTCTGCTTCCTCCTAATGTCACCAACATCAGAAGCAAGTTTTCAGTCAGTCTGATTTAATTCAATGTGATATCCAGTGAGTAAGTGTACTCTAGGTCCTGACAACATCCCAGGTGTAGTGAAAGCTTGTCTTCCAGAACTTGCTGTGCCTGTACTAAAGCCATTCCAATGCAGCTGTAACATCAGCATCTACCCAACACTGGATAATCAACAAGATATATTCTATCTACAAAATTTGTATCATACAAATTTATCCTAAGTGAGATTCTAACCATCTCCTCCAGATGTTCATGGCATTACCATAAATGAATTCCCCATCAACAATATCCTGGGAGTCACTGTTCACCAGAAACTCAAACAGATCAACCATCTGATACTGTATCTACAAGAACAGATCGGGTTGGATATTCTGTGATATGTGACACTCCAAAGCCGATTGTAACTTGATTGAAAAATCCAAATCCAGAGCAGAGCAGCTCGTTCAATGTGCACTCCATCTACCACCTTAACAATTAACACTCTCCACGATGGGTGCATTGTGGCAGCAGTGTACAGGATCTCCTGCATTGGTTCACTTCAGCTCCTTCAATAACACCACAAACACACTCTCTAGAAGGATGAGGCGATCATTGTGTTGAAACACTGCCACCTACAAGTTTCTTTGCAAATCTTGCGCAACCGGATTTTAAATAAATCGCTATTAGTTCTTCTTCATTGAGTTAACATCCATAATTAATCGTTTTTTGGGAGTATCTTTAGCACAGGCTCACCACCACCTCCTTGGGCATTTGAAGGTGGCAGTAAACTCTGGTGATGTCTATATCCTGTGAACAAGTTTAAAAGAAAATTTCTTGTATTAGTATTGAGTCAGAAGGTTGCCTTTGCCTAAAATGAAAGGATGCTTTCAATTGTAAATTATTTGCACCTTAATTTAAAATGATTGTAGTTTTTACTTTAAATCCTTCTGTCCATCCTTGTTTTCTCCAGTGATTGCAGGCTCTCTATTTCAGGCTGCTGCAGCTTTGTATGTTGAATTTGAATTCACCTCACCCTGGGCTAGTGCCCCAGCCGTTTGCTTTCAGTTAATTATTTTATATTCCAAAAAGAAATTGAATTGGATTTTCTTATTGCATCCTAGTCTTAGAGCTGAATTCTAACAAAAATCAGCAGTCGGTATCAAAGAGATCGTTGAAGGCTTCTGCCCGTGAGCTGTAACAGTGTTAAACTGCTCAGCTCATTACGTATACATCATGGTTTTATGACACATCACTATTATGCAATTCCCAGCAGCACAAAAGGTTACCATTGCCAGGACCTTCTGGGATTGTCATTACTAGGGCCATATTTAAAGTCCAGCTGTGCATCAGACCAATTGCTGCAGCCACAAATAGCCATTCATAGTCCATGTAGTGGGAGGGAAACAAAATAATAACAAACAGCTCTGAGGACACATAGGTAGTACAGAAGATGAATGTGAGTTTCTATTTGTAAATTATGCTACTATTTTACATTGTTATCTGTCTGATCAACAGTCATTGTAATTGCTGCAACAAGCATTACGTTACACAGGCTACCCATCCTTGGTGCCATACCAGATTAGAACCATGTCTGAGAGAGTGCTACTCTTTCCCTAACACCCAACGTAATATCACATCTTGTTATTGTTTAAAGTGAGAGCATCACATGTTGGAAAGCCTTTAAACAGTTAGATGTTAACATGTATTGAACAACAGGAAAAGCGAAGAAAAACAAGCACAAAATTGCTGAATTTGCTTTTTTGAGACAGAATGTATGCTCTTGCATTTCGTGCAGCACCAAATTTGCAATGATAACTTCACCCAACACCAATCTTTAGAAGTGGATGTCAATTAAATCTGTCTGGCTTGTTGCACCCAAAGTTGCAGAATTCTATCATGCTGGAAGTGATTTTTTTTTTTCTCCTGTGCAATGTCCTCATCCCTGGAAGTTTGCTGCCACTCACCCACCTCTTCAGCATCCGGCACATCTCATCTTTGCTTGCTTCGATTATACAGGGTGCAGCATACTCTGTCCAGACTGTACTGCAAGGTTTCACAGGCCCAATCCAAGCATGGAGCCTTTTTTCTTTTAGGGGGCCTATTGTCTGCTCCATGATGACCTTTAATGGAAAACACACAGTTGGACACTGTATGCCGTTCACAAACAGGGTTCTATGATTACAAATGACTTCAGCCAGTGCTGTGGAAATGCCTAATTAATACAATTGCACCTTGATCAGCCTCTCATTGACAACAAGTAGAGCCCAGGTACTCCGATCAGGGAAATGAAAAACACTTTGCCCAATCTGGGTAAGGTTGTAGCTATTATCTGTTTCCAGTATCTTTTGTGATTTGGGTGAGCTTGGAAGACAGCATTTGGATGTGCTTTGCAAAATGAGGCTGAGCCTGGTATTTCAGGAGAGCAGCCCACAAACCTTCATGAATGTTGTGTTCACTGTCAGATATTGTCCTTGACCGACTGTGGCAGCAGCCCCTGACAGATAGCAGTCCCGATTGACTTGACTGAGTTCACCCCACCTGACGTTGGAAATATATCTTCTTGTATTCGTTAAATACATTGTGGGCACCATTTTGAGGGTACGAGGGATCTTTGTTTCCCCTGAGCTGATCACAAAATCCAGGCCATTAATGTTTTAGAATGAATGATTTTTGTCCTGTGTTGAGGCAAATTTAAATTAATAGAATGGATAAACTAATGTTTCTAAACTCAACATTTCTACAGTTAATATAACCAAAATGGTGATGTGAGTTTTTTTAATCTCTCTCTTAGGCGTGCTTATCAATGCTATGCGAATGGGCCATTGGATTATCCTAGATGAATTGAATTTAGCCCCTACTGATGTTCTAGAAGCTCTTAATCGGCTCCTTGATGACAATCGAGAGCTCTTTATAACTGAGACTCAGGAAGTGGTAAAAGCACATCCAAGATTCATGCTTTTTGCAACCCAGAATCCTCCTGGACTATATGGTGGCAGGAAGGTCTGTTTTTTTACTTTTCTGGTTTTTCTGTTTCCAGGGGTGATGGGTTGGGCTGAATGTGTAATGGACAATACATGCCTGCTTTAATTGAAGCTTTATAGATGGCAGAGAATTATTACTGAACATGACACCTATTAGTATACTGTCACGGTAAATGAAGACAGCATTGTGGAACAGATATTTAAATTAACTATCAGGAGCATGTAAAGCTTGGAACTTACTTACTCAAGTTTAGTTTAATAAAAATAGGACAATTTGTATTTATGTAGTGGGAAAGAATAAATATCCTAACGTACTATTTGGGGACATGAGAGAAAATGAAACAATGCTACAAGGAAATATTAGGGCAGATGACCAGAAGCAGAGCCAGTGAAATATTGGTATAAGGAGGGTTGAGGGATTGAGAGGTGGAAGGGTTTAGAGACTGAGTTTCACAAGTTTAAGGCCTAGATACCTCAAAGCATTGCCAATGGTAGAGTAATTAAATTTCTGAGGATTGTGGGATTGGAGGAGATCAAAGATAAGAAGGAGTGAGATCATGAAGAAACTTGAAAACCATGAATTTTAAAATCAAAATGTTGCTTGACTGGGAACCAGTGTTATTCATTGAGGACTAGGGTGATAGGTGAACAGTGCAAATGAAGAGATGGTTAGTTGACTGTTGTATGGCCTCACAAGTTTATCGAGGGCAGAATGTGGGAAGGTGACCAGGAGTGTGTGAGAATAGTCATGCCTGGCCTCAGTAAAAGTATGTATGCGGGCAGTAGTAGAACTGAGGCAGGGTGGTCAGGTGATGTTACGTAGATGAGAAAATGTTGGTCCTTGTGATAGTGCCGATTGTAGGGTTTGAATCTGATATGTAATTCAAATATGACAGAGGTTCAGTCTCATTTGCCAGAGGGACAGATGGAGTTGGTGACTGCAAATTGAGTTTGGAGCTGGCATTGAAGGCAATAACTTTGGTCCCCACCATTGCCCATATTAAATTAGAAGAAGTTGCTGCTTATCCAATAATGGATGTCAGATGCTATCTAATGATCGAAGGCAGGGGACAATCATGAGTACATCTGAAAACCTATCAGTTTTTGCATTATGTGGCCAAGCGGCAGCACAAACATGAGAAATGAGGCGTTGAGGAGAAATTCTTGGGGAACATGTGATGTCAATGTACCTGAGCAGGAAGAGCGATCATTGAAGTTTGTTGATTGAATAGAACCAGATAAGTGCAGAATCACCTGGTTGGACGACTGCTGAGATGTTGGATGCAGGTTGTATGGTCAGCATTTTGGAAGGCTGCAGACAGGTAGAGAAGGATATTTTCCCTTTGTCATTCTTGCATAGGATGCAATACGAGACGTGGATTTATTAACCAATTCAAGTGTAAAATCCATTGTATTTTCTAGTTGTGTGAGGCAGGATGCCATTGACAGTGACATTTTGTGATTCCTTCAGCATTTTCCTGAAGTATTTTTATTTCCCATGTTTACAAATTTGGTTTAAGAGTTCAGAAATCTTGGCTGTGTATTATATGAATTATAGAAGTATTAGGTACTACAAGGTATCCTCCACCAGTCTTAAATTGGTTGGGTCTATACTTGCTATTAAAATCCTGGACTATTGTGTGATTAATTTTATAAAAATTACTATTTTGTTTTAACTATGACTTTAACTTTGTTTTTAGATGTTGTCAAGAGCATTCAGGAACCGTTTTGTGGAATTACATTTTGATGAACTTCCAAAAGCTGAATTAGAAATTATTTTGAACAAGAGATCCAGTTTGCCCCCATCTTACTGTGCAAAGCTAGTCAAAGTTATGCTGGAACTGCAGGTATTTCACAGAGCAATGTTCTTAAGTTTTGAGAAGGGCTTTCTGCAAGCTCCATGACAAGAGATTTTGAATATTTAAAAATGCCTGTTCGTGGGGGGGAGAAAAGTTGTCAAACTATTATTGAAGTAATTCTTGACACTAACCATTGAATTACTAACAGTCTATTGAAGCATACTATTGAATAAAGGATTGTAGGCTGCAAGAAATTACTTTAACATCATATTTTAACAAATGTTTCTTAAAACAGTCATATCGTAGAGGATCAAGTGTTTTTGCTGGAAAACATGGCTTCATTACCCTGCGTGAACTATTTAGGTGGGCAGAACGCTACAGATTGACTGAACAATTAATGCCTGGTTATGACTGGATTAGACATATAGCCACTGATGGTGAGTTTGTCATTGATTCTTGTGATTACCATTTTTCTCTTCAAAGTCACTTAGTGCTGTGTGGCTTCCCTATCCTTGCTAACGGCTTGAAGAACTTTGATCTGGATATAATAAATGAGTGACCTGGGGTGATCTGACCTTGATTGCATCTCCTTTGAAAAGCATCAGGTCTTGCCTAACTCTGGTGATGGAAATTGTGAATATTGTGTGGACAAATGACTGATGTAGATGCTTCCTTTCTCTGTTAAAGCTCCGACTTGGCTTGCCAATCTCAGTGTTATGATGATTTATTGTTTTGTTCCATTCTTCTCCTGTACTTCTGTCCACTTTTCTATTGAACACGCCCTCCCTCTTGTATATGAGTTGCTACCAGAGGCATGGAAGTCAACTAGCAATAATAGTCCTATTCCTCTGGGGTGGCATGAAATGGGAATCACACTTTTGCACAAGGCATCGTTAGTTATGTGGTTGGGTAGACTGTCTACAAATTGTTTGTTTCTTGTGGACATTGCCAAAGTAAAAATTTACATTTATAATGAAGTGATTTTTGCACTTTAAGCCATGTTTTTACTAGACACTAGAGTTTAAGACTGTGTCTACAAGTTTGAACCAACTTTTAAAATATTTCACTTGCGTTGGTCTGAACTAATAGTTATTGCTCTTGCAGCTTATATGCTCTTGGCAGGCCGTGTGAGGAAAGAAGAAGAAGTCACTGTTATTCACCGTATCCTTGAAAAAGAATTTAAAAGGAAGCTTGTTCCTGAAGTTATGTTCTCAAAAGACAGTCTTCAAAAAAGAATGGGTAAGTTTTTTTTTAAACAACAGAGAGTCTTATTTTGTTTTGAGATTTTGTGACTGCCTAATGTTTGATGGCATGCTTTCCCAACTCAGGTTGTGGGTTTCAAGGGCCATTCCATGACTTAAAGCACAAAAGTAGAGGCTGACAGTAGAGTGCAGAACTCTTGGCATGCTGTACTGTTAGAGTTGCTATCAATCGCTTGAGATGTTAAATCGAGATTCCACCAGTTTCCTCAGTGAAGGTTATAAATTCCAAAGATGTGCAGAAATTATTTCCAGTGTCCTGACCAGTTTTAGTCATTCAATCAATATCAGAATTACAGTTTATCTGGTAATTATCACGTTCCTGTTTTATAAGAGCTTTGCATGTGCAAATTGGCTGCCATATGCTTCAGTTGCTTCTTGGCTGTGTTTTGCAATGCCTGTGATCGTAAAAGGCACTGTATAAATGCATCCTTTTTCTTATGCTTTATGACTGATTATATTAGCTAGTTTCTGTGCCATATATCCATTTGACCTAACCAGCCCATGCTAGTCTTTATGCTCCACTTGGGCTGCCTCTGTCTTTTCTCATGTAAATTTACCATTGTAAACAACTCTATCTTTCTCCTTCATATATTTATTTAGCTTCCCCTTAGGTGATCTGCAGTCATATTCTGGTAGTGATTTCCATATTCCTATCCTCAGGTAAATTCTGAATTCCCTATTGGGTTTCTTGATAAAGTGAGAAGTCACATGACACTAGGTTATAGTCCAACAGATTTATTTGAAATCACAAGCTTTCAGAGCGCTGCTCCTTCGTCAGATGAAGTGTCTTCACCTGACGAAGGAACAGCGCTCCAAAAGCTTGTGATTTCAAATAAACCTGTTGGACTATAACCTAGTGTTGTATGACTTCTGCCTCTGTCCACCCGAGTCCAACACCGGCACCTCCATATCAGGGTTTCTTGATGATCATCTTAAATAGATGGTCTTGAATTATGTTCTTTCCCAAAAGAGGAAATCATCTTGAACAGAAAAAAACAGGCTGTTGCTGTTTTCCTATTTTGTGACTGACTTATGTACACATGTCCTGGTATCATTCTTGTCAATTTTCTCTGCACCCTCTCTATATTTCCATATTGTTTTTTAGGATATGGTGACCAGAACTACTTGCAAGGTTCAATGCAGGCTTAGTACAAACTTCCCTACTTTTCAGTTCTGTATACCTAGATGGAAAATCTTGTGCTTTTTGTTTTGGCTTTGCTAACCTGTGGTACAACTTTACTGATTACTTCATTTATCTGTTTTGAAACTTGTTTTCCCATTCTGCAAGTTTATTGATGTTTTCCTGTATTGACTATCTTCCCTGTACCCTCAAATTTGACATCATCTACAAATTGAGAAATTTGGGTTGTTGATTCCAAAGTCAAAATTATTAATATAAATTGTGAATGGCAGTGGTCTTGGTATTAATCATGCTAGAACACCTTTCTACCTATCTCAACAACTCTTCCAGGCTCCTTTTAAACAGCACTTTGCAACAATCTCTATCACCTAAATGGACAGAGGCAGCAGATTCATGGGAATAGCACTACTTCCATGTTTCCTCCAGGCCACACACCATCCTGACTATACTGACATTATTTCAATGTTGTTTTGTCAAAATTCTGAAACTCCCTCTCTGTGGTTGTCTATATTCACGTGGACTATAACGATTCAAGAAAGAGGTTCATCACCACTCTTCTGGAGGGCAATTGGGGATGGCTGATAAATGCTAGCCTAAGCAGCAATGCCACATCCTGTGAATTAATGAAAAGTACCTTCTACCACTTTGAATAACTCTCCATTCATTGACTACAGGACAAAGCAATCCACTCTGCATGTTTCTGATTCCGTTCTCTTAACTTAATCACTAGCCTCTTTTTGTACACTTTGTACAAAGGCCTTTTGAAAGTCCAAGTAAACTACATCTGCTGCATTACTATATCTTATTCTGATACCTTGTCAATATTCAGGAATGTTGTTCAAATAAGGTTTTTCCCTTTGAAATCCATGCTAACTGCTTGTTATTTTTCCTACTCCTAGTTGTTGTACTACCTTTTTGTGGGAATTCCATTCAGTTTCCTACCACTGATGTTAAGCTGTTTGTTTGTGATTCTTTAGGGGCATGTTATTTAAATCTATGAACTAGATTGCCACCAATCCTCTGGCACCTTTTCAAACTAATAATGAAATAAAAGTACAGATGCCTCTGTAACCTTTTTTAATTTGGATTGCATCCAAGTATTTTAAAATAAATTTATCTTAACCAGGAGCTTTATCTTCTGAGTTTGAATAATTTACTCAATCCACTTTTTTTCTTATTGAGTGATCACATCAGTAATGTCGTGCCTATCTATTCTATTTCTCTTTGAAATCCTGAAGCAAAATAATATTTGTCCTCTCCAGCAATATTTGTGGTATCATCCTGTCTATCCTTAGTTTGTGTGCACTGAACTGTTAATTTAGAAATATTTTGGACTTTGGACGTGTTTTAGGCTGGCACTTTTAAGTGGTGCTCTCAAAACTTTAAAAATCAATCTCCACTTACAGTTTGGGCCTTTTTTTTTGATCTTGTCATTTTGTGAGGTTGAATAGGTTTCACATCAATTTAGTCAGATGCACACATTCATGCTGATTTATAATGCTTCATTAAAGTAGCTCTACATGACTCGTCCAAGTAATTCCGTTATGACCTCATTTTGCTTGGTTTCTCACTTTACAGATCAGTGGCCAAGTCTGACATCAGTCATGTCTGATGACTTTCGCCATGTCGTGTGGACATATGGAATGCGAAAGTTGGCAATTCTGGTAGGACAAGGTTTGCGGTTTCGAGAAGCTGTGCTAATTGTTGGAGAAACTGGGTAATTATCCAAAATTTTAATTAAATCTTAATCCTCAAATGATACATTTATACTAGTACGACTATAAACTGCAGTTGTAATGATAAATTCTGTTGAGGTTTTAACATTAAATTTTTGCATTTCACGCAACATGCACTGTTATGAACCAGACAAAACCCCCTTCAAATATATCAAGGAGATACCCTAGACCCTAACTGTTACCTTATTTAAAGACGAGTGTAAAGTGCTATATTCTAGATGTAATTCGATTGGTCACACAACTAGGCTTTAAGCAAAACACACTTTATTCTTGCCCTACAGTTAAAATACAACAAAAGAAAGAAGAATTGGTCTAACTTTAACTCTATTGAAAAACTTAACAGATTATTTAACTACTAAACAGTAACTGTTCCAATATAGCAAAATCCCATAAACACACCCTGGGCAAAGGCAAATTCAGTAAAACAGATTTGTCTCACATATGAATCTGGCAGCAGAGAGAGAACTCAAACTTTTAGCTTTTTTTAAATTCATTCACGGGATGAGGGCGTCGCTGGCTAGACCAGCATTTATTGCCCATCCCTAATTGCCCAGAGGGCAGTTCAGAGTCAACCACATTGCTGTGGGTCTGGAGTCTCATGCAGACCAGACCAGGTAAGGATGGCAGTTTCCTTCCCTAAAGGACATTAGTGAACCAGATAGGTTTTTCCCGACAATCGATAATGGATTCATGGTCATCATTGGATTCTTAATCCCAGATATTTATTGAATTCAAATTCCACCGTCTGCCGTGGAAGGATTCAAACCCGGGTCCCCAGAACATTATCTGGGTTTTTGGATTAACAGTCCAGCAATAATACCACTAGGCCATTGCCTCCCCTCTAGTAACAGAGAGAGATAAAGAGATGTAGCATCTTCCACGATCAGCTTCTAAATCCCAACAACTACTGAAAGCCAAACTAAAACCCTGGTTCTGGGGGAGCCTGACTCTACCCATTCATGCTACTTCTATTGTTCTAACTTTTTAAAAAAAACACTTGCATTGGATAACAAGGTGTGGAGCTGGATGAACACAGCAGGCCAAGCAGCATCATAGGAGCAGGAAGGCTGACGTTTTGGGCCTAGACTTTTCTTTATTCGCTTAGAAACAACTTGGCGTCTACGGCTCAAAACCTGTCATCAAAAAAAAAGAGAAAATGCACCTCCTCAAGCCATAGTATTGTCATGGTACAAAAATAAAGTTGCAAAACTGCACTAATTGGAGAAATTTGGGCATATTATTGCATTTGCAATATTAGTGCATCAGCTAGAGGTGCTGAGTGGATGATCCATCTCTTCCTGAGGTCCCTACAGTTGGAGCAGCCAGTAATTCGCTGGTTTGATTCAGCTTATATTATATCAAGAAGTAACTCTGCAGCCTGCATGTAACCCTGGTTATAGATTGGGACCAAAATTCCAGCTGCAGTGCTGAAGACTTGTGCTCAAGAATTAGCCATGCCTCTCATTTGTTCCATTAGTACTTCAATGCTGACATCTGCCTTACACTCTGAAAATTGCCCAAATATGCTTTTTCCTCAAAACGGACAAACTCAATTAGACCAAATGTCCGCCCTGCCCCGTAACCTAATATTGATAATCAGCAGAATGATGAAAGGGATTGTTGACAGTGTAGTGAAACAGCATTTACTGAACAAAAACCTGTTCACTGATGCTTTGTTTGGTTTCAGCCAGTTTAACTTGGCTCCTGACTTTTATGTATGGACAAAAGAGCTGAATTCAGAGATGAGATTAAAGTTGCTGCTTTTGACAGTGAGGCAACATTTGATGAAGTACGTCATCAAGGAACCCTAATAAATTGAAGTCAAAGGGAATTGGGTGGGAATAAACTTCAGATGTTGGGCACTCCCTAACTCATGTCAGTACTGGACAGTATCCTAGGCCTAAACATCCTTAGCTGCTTGGAGCATGATCATCTTTCCATAATGTCAAAAATTGGGATGTCCTTTGCTGAATAGACATAAACAAATACTGGCCCAGCCAACGATATGCATATTCATAAGTGAATAAAACACTTTTTTAAGAATTTTTTTAAGAAAAAATTGCATACATGTTCAGTACCAAATTGTAACTTTTCCAGAAAATGAAGCATTCCACATTGATGTGCTGCAAGATGTAGAGAACTTTAAACATGGGTTGTTATGTGGGCAAAACATTTTACCCGGTCTTCTACAAGTACCAAACAAATAATTATCTCAAACAAGAGAGAATCAAATAATCTCCTCTTGCCATTAAATGGTACCAATAACATTTTACAGCCACAATTGACTAGGAACTTAACAGGCCCATGCTTAAATACTGTGGCTGCCAGAATTGGCCAGATGCTGGGAGTTCTGCATCAAGTTACTCCCCTCCTAACTCCCTAAAGCTTGTTTATCTACATCATGCAAGTCAGAAGAATGATGGAATACTTCCCACTTGCTTGGAACGTTGTAGCTCTAATAGTGAAGAAACTCAGTACAGCCTAAACAGCCTGTTTGATTAGCACCTCAAATACCATCTTAAATAATCGCTCCCCATGCTATAAACGTGGCAACAGTCTGTACCATTTAAAAGATGCACTGTAGCAACTCACCAAAGTGTCTTTGATCCTGCCCTCCAAACAAAAGCTGGGCACATACTGACTTGGAAAATATTGCCATTCCTTCGCAATCACTCGATCAAATTAGTGGACCTCCTTACTCAACAGCACTATCAGCGCACACTGACTGCAACGGTTCAAGAAAGTACCTGACCATCACTTTCTCCACTGTACTTGAGAGTGACCAATAAATGTTCACCCAGCCAGTGTCAACTTCCTGTGAATGGATAAAAAAGTCCAAGGCTAGCTCTGAAGAACTCTCGTAGCTGTCATATTGCCTTATAATTTGTACTGCCTGTTTTTTTTTTTAAATTCTAAAGTCAACATGTGGGTAGCTTTTTATTGTTCTGTTCATGAAATCTGACCACTGTTTTATAACTTTTAATTTCTGTCATTGTATTGTCCCGGCATTCCATATGGACCTCAACAACGCCCTGGCCGCCCCCCACCATTTGGCACTGCTCCACGTATGTGTGGGGAGAAGGCAGGAAAGTGGAGTTGAGGAGGATCAGATCAGCTACGATGTCATTGAGTGGTGGAGCAGACTCAATGGGCTCAATGGCCAACGTCTGCTCCTAAAGCTTGTGGTCCGATGTGTACTGTTTTCATGTTATCCATTTGATACAGGAATCTGGATTTGGATGGGCTTGGTTTTTTTTCCCTGCATCCAAATGCTTTGAAGAACTCAATATGTAATGTGCTGCTTCCAAATTTGTATTGGTCACTGTGCTATTGCTGAATCAATTCTCCAGTGCTTCCCATTATTTTACTGTCTGTTGATCGGATAACTGAATGTGAGATATCTTTTGCTTTTTGTAGGTGTGGTAAGACCACAGTGTGTCAGATGTTCGCTTCCTTGTTCAATCAGAAGCTGCACACAGTGAATTGTCATTTGCACTTGGAGACATCTGACTTCCTTGGGGGTTTGAGGCCTGTCAGACATAGTTGCAGTGAAGAAGTAAGTTTATTACTGGTTTAAAGCCATTAATCCATTTGTCAGCCCTTGTCAAGTAGTTAATTAAAGTTTGGAAGTGCCCCCATCACCATGACCAGATTCTGTCATTACATTCCCAAGCTAGCTGCTGGAATTGCTGTCCTGAGTTAGTTTATTTGGCTCTGTTACGTGACTCAAAAGTGGGGGCAGAAAGTATAGAAAGCAAATCTGAACAATTATACTTTTACAACAAATCAGGTTGTGTACTAACCGTGGAATGGAAAGTGCAAGTTAGGACATGAGTTTGTATTAAGCTGAATCATGTTTTGTGGATCAGGGAGTAAAACTGAAGAGAAAATAACTCCAGAGATATTGGGAACTGCCGATGCTGGAGTTTGAGATAACAAGGTGTGAGCTGGATGAACACAGCCGGCCAAGCAGCATCGGAGGAGCAGGAAAGCTGACGTTTCGGGTCTGGACCCTTCTTCAGAAATGGGGGAGGGGAAGGGGATTCTGAAATAAATAGAGAGAGAGAGGGGGAGGCGGATGGAAGATTGATAAAGGAGCAGATAGGTGGAGAGGAGACGGACAGGCCAAAGAGATGGGGATGGAGCAAAGGTGAGTGTAGGTGGGGAGTTAGAACATAAGAACTAGGAGCAGGAGTAGGCCATCTGGCACCTCGAGCCTGCCCCACCATTTAATAAGATCATGGCTGATCTTTTTGAGACTCCGCTCCACTTACCCGCCCCCTCACCATAACCCTTAATTCCTTTACTGTTCAAAAATTTATCTAGCCTTGCCTTAAAACCATTCAGTGAGGTAGCCTCAACCACTTCACTGGGCAAGGAATTCCACAGATTCACAACCCTTTGGGTGAAGAAGTTCCTCCTGACCTCTGTCCTACATCTGCTTCCCTTTATTTTGAGGCGTTAGGGTGGGGGTTGGTCAGTCCAGGGAAGACGGACAAGTCAAGTAGGTGGGGATGAGGTTGGTAGGTAGGTGGGGGGGTGGGGCTTGAGGTGGGAGGTGTGGCTAGGTAGGAGGAAGGACAGGTTAGGGATGCAGGGACGAGCTGGGCTTCTTTTGGGATGCAGTCGGGGTAGGGGAGATTTTGAAGTTTGTGAAGTCCACATTGATACCATTGGGCTGCAGGGTTCCCAAGCGAAATATGAGGTGCTGTTCCTGCAACCTTTCGGTGGCATCATTTGTGGCACTGCAGGAGGCCCAGGATGGAAATGTCATCCACCTCCCCACCCTTATCTGCCTTCCGGAGGGACCACTCTCTCCATGACTCCCTTGTCCACTCCACACTCCCCACCAACCCCTGCACTTTTCCCTGCAACCGCAGGAAGTGCTACACCTCCCCCCTCACCCCCATCCCAGGCCCCAAGAAGACCTTCCACCTGCACTTCTGCTAATGTGGTATACTGTATCCGCTGTTCCCGTTGTGCCCTCCTCTACATCGGGGAAACCAAGCGGAGACTTGGAGACTGCTTTGTGGAACACCTACGCTCGGTTCGCGACAAACGACTGCACCTCCCAGTCACGAACCACTTCAACTCCCCCCTCCCAGTCCTTGGACGACTTGTCCATCCTGGGCCGCCTCCAGTGCCACAACAATGCCACCCGAAGGTTGCAGGAACAGCACCTCATATTTCGCTTGGGAACCCTGCAGCCCAATGGTATCAATGTGGACTTCACAAGCTTCAAAATCTCTCCTCCCCCAACCACATCCCAAAACCAGCCCAGCACGTCCCTGCCTCCCTAACCTGTCCGTCCTTTCTCCCACCCATCCACTCCTCCCACCTCAAGCCCCACCTCCACCTACCTACCAGCCTCATCCCCGCCTACTTACCTTGTCCGTCTTCCGTGGACTGACCAACTCCCACCCTAACTCCCCACCTACACTCACCTTTACTGGCTCCATCCCTGCCTCTTTGACCTGTTCGTCTCCTCTCCACCTATCTGCTCCTTTAACCATCTTCCATCCGCCTCCCCCTCTCTCTCTATGTATTTCAGAATTCCCTGCCCCTCCCCGATTTCTGAAGAAGGGTCTCGACCCTAAACGTCAGCTTTCCTGCTCCTCTGATGCTACACCTTGTTATCTCAGAAAGTGACTCTAGTTCTGTCTGTCTGACTGATAATAGATTGCGTTGTGCCCATCTTTTGTAACAGGGTATTGATAATCTGCGTTATAATTGTGGGCATTGTCTTGAAATATACTAGGATATGCGTAAATCACACTTGGGAAATGGCTATGCTTTGATTACCCATTTGCAGTACTGACACAATGAATCTGCCTGATTAACAAAAGAGATTACAAATTCTACCCACTACAGCCCAGAAGATAGGAAATGTGAACGGTAGTTTGCCTTTAACACTGGCATTCTGCCCAGTCAGAGGGCTTTACAGCTGTGTAACGAAATAAAATGGGCGCTGATATAATGAGGTTGAGAAGACAAGTCTTGCAGCCAAGTGATAGGTTTAGGAAGGAAATTTTCACTTAAGACTGGAATAGCTGAAAGCAGAAAATAAATCAGGCAGAGCACGTCAATATTATTTCATACTGCAGGGAATTGTCCTTTTTTATTTTGGTCTCTTCCGTTATTTATTCCAGTCAAAGATCATGTAACAGAGAGAACAGAGTAATTCATAACAACCTGCATCAAAAAGGAACTAAACAGTAAGAAATCTGATCCAAATTGATGTCCATTACTCCTCTCTGCTTTTGTGGTGGTTGGCACTATTTTTCAGGCAAAATCATGAAAGGAAAGGCCACTCTACTCCTTGAGCCTGTTCTGCTGGTTAGTTGGAGTATCTCTGATGCTTTGAGGAGCTGGTTTTGTTTCCAAAGACTATTAAAGGTTCACTGATTAAACTGTGTGTAGAGTAGTGAGATGGTGGGTGAATCAGCTAGAAATATGAATTGGTCAGGAATTGAGACAACTTTGTACAGGTACCACATGAAAGTAGTTGCCTCATAATGTAGTGGAACATACCAGATTTGTCTGTGTTAATTAAGTCCCTATACATGTGACACAAACTGGCAAGTAGTGCTGTTCTCCAGGTTTTTTTTTTTTGGAGGTGAGGTTAAGTGTGTACCTTTTTTAAGATATATTTCTTGACCATTAGGATGGTGCCAACCCCAACAGACTGTTTGAGTGGCACGATGGACCTCTTGTACTTGCAATGAAGGAAGATAACATGTTTCTGATGGATGAAATCTCACTGGCGGATGATTCTGTTTTGGAAAGACTCAACAGGTGTTGTTAAAATCAGATTCACCAGTTAATTTTCAGATGTTTAAAGCAGGAATTGGATTGTTTCTAAACCTTTTTCAACTGTTTTGTAATAGTTTCTATTTTGTGTTAAATGACTTGTTTCAATGCATGTGCAGTGTGCTGGAAGATGAACAGACACTCTTGCTCGCAGAAAAGGGAAGTGCAGAAGATGATACTGTGGAGCTCATTACAGCTGGAAACAGATTTAGGATACTTGCAACCATGAATCCTGGAGGTGATTTTGGCAAGAAGGAGGTAAGTGTGTGGTCATGGTACAATGATTTGAAATGATATAGTGCAGAAAATAAGTAGATGGCTAATGATCTAAGCAGGAAGAAAAACATTTCCTTTATAACCAGCGTTTCACACCCTTTGATATACCACAGCACTTGTAGCCAATGTAGTTTTTTTTTTGAAGTGGTAGTTATGAGTTGCAACGTCAAAAAAAAATCAGGGCGTCAATGTTCGCAAAGCAAGCTGCCACAAATAGCACGGAAGTAGTGACCAAGTGATTTTTTTTCAGTATATTGATTTGAAGGATAAATGTCAGCCAGCACGCTGAGAGCCACACCTTGCTGACCTTTGACTGAATTATTACCATATGACAGCATTTTCCATCCTGCAGTATTCTCTCAGGCCTGCTGAGTGTGGCAGCCTCGTTTACATGTTCACATATGAAAGTATGGAGTCTACTTGCCTGAGTTATTACCACAAGTAGCGAGTTTTGCCATTTTTGTTTATGGGATATGGGCATCATGGGCCGGGTCATGTTTATTACCCTGGAGAAGGTGTCAGTGAGCTGTGTTATTGAACTACTGCTGTAGATATCTTGGGTAACTAGTTTATTCGTAACTATCCTGAATTTTTGACACTTTATTCAAATTGTATGTTGGCCTTCATAGTGAGAGGCTTCAAATACAAAGAGAGGGCTGACTTGCTGCAATTGTACAGGACCTTGGTGAGACCAAGAGTATTGTTTGAAGTTTTGGCCTCCTTTATCTGAGGAAGGACATTCTTGTTATGGAGGGAGTGCACAAGTGTTCACCAGACTGATTCTGGGTGGCAGGACTGAAACATGAAGAGATCCTAGGTCAGTTAGGACCATATTTACTGGAGTTGAGTAGAATAAGCAGGAATCTCCTAGAAATCTATAACACTTCAACAGCACCAGGCAGTATAAATGTAGGAAGGATGTTCCTATGACTGGTGAGTGCAAAATCAGAGTCACAGTCTAAGAATACAAGGTAGGCCAGAGGAGAAATTTCTTCACCTAGAGAGTGGCGATCCTTTAGTGTTCTTTAATTCCCTTTAGCTGTAAGAACTATATCTAACTCCTTCTTCGGAAAACATTTGATGCTTTCGCCTCAAATTGTTTTCCCTGGTAAAGGGTGTGGGGAGAAAGCAGGAGCAGGTACTGCGTTGGATGATTAACCATGATACTATATTGAATGACGGTGTAGGCTTGAAGGACTGAGTGGCCTACTCCTGTTCCTGTTTTCTATGTTGCACTCTTGTTTGCTCACTCTGGTTCCTGTCTTCCTTCCTCTGCAGTACTAGTGAACATTTTGTGAGGGTATTAGTCCCTGTCCTGCTGGGTACACCTTGAACAATTCATACCGATCCCATTTTTCCCAGAATTGATCCCCTCAACATTCTACACCATCCCTCAAGTCAATCATTCTATTCTTCTGCCCTGATGTCAACAGCATGTGGGACTGGGAGTGATCCTGAGATCCTTTTCAATTAATTTCATAGCTCCCTATATTCTGTTTGCAGGTCCTAATTCCTCCTCTTGTGGGTTGGTATCACCATGGACCATGACCTGTGACGGTTCTCTTTCCCTCTTTAGAGTGTCCAGTTGCTGTTCAGTGACATATTTGATCTTCATTTAGTAAGGGGATCAAGGGTTACAGGGAGAAGCAGGAGAATGGGGTTGGAAACAAGTCGGCTGTGATCGAATGGTGGGGCAGATTGGATGGACTGAATAGCCTAATTTTGTCCCTGTATCTTATGATCTTGTGACCGAGAGTGGGAGCAGGCCTTGCTGGTCTCATGTCTGCAACTGCAGAAATGTCTGTTTGTTGCCCTGACCATATAATTCCATGTCACTGTTGCTCTTCTGTCTCTCTCCCACCCCCCGACCCAGCCACTCCACCAATATGTGCAGCTGACCCAATCCTGGCCCCATGAATTTGGCTGTTGTTGCATTCTCATGAGATAACTACTGGGGGAGAAGGCAAGTATCCAAATGGAGCAAGACCTGGACAGCAGCCATCATAAGGCTAATAAGAGACAACATTCGTGCCACAAGTGCCACAGGTGATGACTATTTCAAACATGAGAAAGTCTAACCACTATCGCTTAACATTAAATGGCATTGCCATCGCCGAATACCCACTTGAACATCCCAAGGGGTTACCTTTCACTAGAAGCTCCATCTGAGTGCTACTAAGACTGCAAGAGTAGATCCAGTGCTAGAAATTCTACAAGTACGTTTCCTCTGGTCTCCCCAGTGACTGTACAGTCTGTCAACAAGGCACAAGTCAGAAGTGTAATGGAATATTCTCTTCTTGCCTGGAAAGGTTCAATGCTCAACAAGTTTGACACCATTTAGAAAAGCAAGTTGCTTCAATGGCACCCTATTCACAACCTTCAACCTTCACTCCTTTCACTAACAATGCACAGGAGCAGCAGCATGTATCATCTACACAATGCACTGCAGTAACTCACGAGAACTCCTCTGATAGCATCTTCTAATCCCAAGGCCTTTATTATCCAGAAGGACAAAGGCATCAGATGCATGGGAATACCTTCACTTACAAGTTCCCCAGACACATCCGTTAGACCATCCTGACTTCCAGTTATACTGCCGTTCCTTCACTGCCACTTGATCAAACTGCTGGAACTGCCTTTTTAACAGCATTGTAGGTGTACCTGCGCTCCACTGGCTGCAATGATTCAAGGAAGCAGCTCACCACCATCTCCGAGCCAGTTCAGGATGGCCACAAATGCTGGCCTAACCAGGGACACACATCCTGTGGACAGACATAATGTTGTTTCATATTGTCTCAATACAATACTAAAAGAGAAATTGTAAATCTAAAACCATGAACTCTTGCAAAGTGAATTAATCTATTGCTTACGTTTCAGCTTTCTCCAGCCCTGAGGAACAGATTTACTGAGATCTGGTGTCCACCAATCAATAGCCGTGAGGATATGCTGGCGATAATTCAACATAACCTAAGCCCTGGACTTTCTTTCCATGAGCAAGATCATCAAGGTGCGATGAGCTGTTCACTTTTCATTTTATTTAGTTGGATATTTTCTGCTTTTTGAGGAATGACATGGGACGAAAGATTCTAATACTTAGAATCATAGAATCCCTACATGCAGATAGTGGTCATTCAGCCCATCAAGCCTGCACCGACCCTGTAAAGAGCGTCCCACCCAGACCCAGCTCCCATCCCTGCATTTACTGTGGCTAATCCACTTAGCCTGCATATTCCTGCACTCTTTAGCACAATTTAGCATGGCCAATCCACCTACATCTGCACATCTTTGGACTGTGGAGGAAACTGGAGCACCCGGAGTAAACCCATGCAGACACCGGTTGCATGTCCAAACTCCACACAAACAGTCACCCATACGTGTCCTGTTGAAACTCAGTCAGCTCATCAGTTTATTGGTTGCATGAATGAACCCTGTGCTGTGTGAAATCTTGCTAACTATTGCAACACGTGTGTGTTGTGCTAGAATAGATTTTAAAAATGGACTTTCCTAGTTCTTCAAAAAGATGTCCTATATGCTCCGTGAGTTGGGTTTTGATATTTAGGAGGCAGCAATTACTCCTGTACTCTTTGCTTAAGCCTACAATCTACTTAATTCAAGGTAAGCATAAAACAAATACTCACTGTCAGGTTTGTCACAGGAAAGTTTTTGTGATGTGTGCTACCCCAGAAGCTCAAACAATTGGTGGTCAAAATTGTAATGTCGACAGGGAGGAAACCTTTTGTGGATGGAATGGTGAAGTTCTCAGTTTTACATTTTCCATCATCTATTGAGTTAATTTATGCTCCACTATATTCTTACAATGGATTCAAGGCCAACAATTTCCAAGAACTGACAATAGGTTAATTGTAGTCCGCTTGTTTCAAGAACGTTGAGTACATGGGGAAATGTAAGAACAGGGAGCAAAATGAGAAACGGTGTCTTTAAAATCTGCAATTGAAGTGGATGGTAATTTTTCCGTGCAAAACTAGTTTATTTTCCCCTCCCTATATATTGCAGGTGAAGATATAGCTGAACTTATTTTGGATTTTATTGACTGGTTAAAGAATCAAGAGTTTGGGCGCCGATGTGTGTTAAGTATCCGAGATCTCCTGTCCTGGGTGGAATTCATGAATGTTACAACAAGGAAAGCGACTGCAGATGTCGTGGATTTGGATGAAATTGGTGATTTTCAGCTTGATCCTGTGACTGGATTCATACATGCTGCATGTCTCACCTGTATCGATGGAATTGGAACAGGTATTTTTGACGAGTGAAACTTCGCTGGCAGGAAAGGCAGGAATTTTTAGCACGTTTAATACAATGTAAAATTCAAGTAACTGATGTTGGACTGCTCATATTTAATGAGCCCAGTATATTTTAATGAAGTTAGTTCATGCCGAAAGAGCTTTTGAAAGTTTCTCATTTTGCAAAAAGTGGACTCGACTTCTTTTGCATTTGGGATTCAAATTACCGTATTTTCAAACTGTGATTTTCCAGAAATGTAGTTGTCCGATGAAATTTATAACAGATACTACTTCCTGAGCAAGATACCTTGACAAAAATTCCAGAGACATTTGTTTGTGTTTGGTGACATCCATTTTCGTGAGCCATGAACATTCCACACTTTATTTTTTGTTTTGCCTTTGAGGCTTACTATGATCAAATTTTTTTTTTCTGAGTGTGAATCTCTGCACATGTGTGTCTGTGAGTTTAGAAGAGTAAAGGTTTGTTTTTCAAATTGTAAGCCATTTATTTATTAAAGAAGCTGGGTTGATTTTGTTTCTGTCTATTTTAATTCTAACATCGAGAAAGCATCGAAAAGCAAAATCATTCAAGGATGCTGGAGATCTGAAATTAGAAAATGCCGGAGAAACTCAAGGTCTGGCAGCGTCTGTGGAGAGAAAACTAAAGTTAACATTTTGAGTATCCTGCAACTCTTCCTCAGAATTTAACTCCATTTCAAAACATCTTATTGAACTTAAAATATTAAGTGCATTTCTACCTGCGCAGATTCTGCCAGATTTTTCGAATTTGCCCAGCATTTTTGTTATTGCTATAGATAAAACATGTGAAAAGTCATAGCAACAATCAGATAAAATTTATGAAATTCATGTTGTTACCATGGATTAATGGAACTAGAGAAAGACAGTGTACTCCTCCCACTGTGGTCGTAATATTAATTTTCTCAGTATTGACAAAGTGTATATTACATGTGTTATAGGTTTGATCCTTTTGCTTTCATTCCCTACTAGGGTCTGCATTTTCTTCTCCAGAGGCTACTTTAGCTGCACGCAAAGCATGCCTGAGCTTCCTTTTAAAGAAACTGTCCAAGGTCGCAAAGTTGACCAAACATATGTGGAATATGCTAAATAGTTATGATCAGAAAAGAAAGAGGAAAGTTGTATGGACTGAAAGTTATTTTGGAATTCATCCATTCTACATTCCCATAGGTAAGCATGAGTGATCAGAGAACAATCTCGTGGGTCTCACTATCCTCTCTGCGTCTTCCTTGGACAACACCAAATTTTTTTAAGCTGTTCGGTGTTCTCCGTGCAAGTCAGAGTCATTCCATTAGCTCATGTCAGAAAGGGGAAACCTCCAGGTAGCTCATTAAAACTTTCACAACTTTTGGAATTGAAATTGCTTTGGAAAGAATTTGGGTCCTTCACGTCCCTAAGAAAAAAGACATGTGCAAGTAGCAGCAGTAATGCATTCAGTTCCCTCTATATTTTTCTTTTAAATTGCTTACTGATTGCAGTAAGAACTCACCAAAATTAACCCATATGTGAGAATCTGGCCATTTGTAAGCTCTTGACTTGTGCACTCAATATTTATTACTTCCAACCTCCTTATCAAATGCTGTATGTCAGTTAATTCAGTACATAAAATGTGGTATGTGTGTTACTCTTGGAGAGCGCGGGCCTTGATGAAGGGTTTCGGCCCGAAAATGTTGACTTTCCTGCTTCTCGGATGCTGTCTGAGATGTGCTTTTCCAGCTCCGCGTTTACTGACTTTGGATTAGTGGTTTTGTTTGTTTGCTTTTAAGTGCTTTTCTAGTAGCAAATTAGAAATTCGTGTTGGGAGTTGCTTGTTACCATTTACCAATGAATGCTGAGCCCTGTAACATTATGTCCCTGCAGGAACTTTAGGAAAGTACACTTACCATTCAGTGAACCTGTTGTTCCAGAGTTCTCTTCCACATGGGTTTTCCTTGCCCTTTTTCTAATTCTGTTGTAGACTAACTGTTAGAGACTGTTTACTCCATTATTATTATGTGCAGTTTAACATAAGGTCAAAGGCAAATATGACTGAGATAACAAGGTGTAGAGCTGGATGAACACAGCAGGCCAAGCAGCATCAGAGGAGCAGGAAGGCTGACGTTTCAGGCC